GCTATTATTTAAATGTTTTTCTTATTAAGTTAAATGTTTTGCTTATTAACTTAAATATTTTATTTATTACTTAAATGTTAAGCTTATTAACTCAAATGCTTTGTTTATTATTTAAATATTTTGTTTATTATTTAATTGTTTTGCTTATTAACTTAAATGCTTTGCTTCTATTAAATCTTTAAATAGGGCAATGGATATGTGGAACCATATAAGAAGAATAATTCAATTTTATGACGATGAGGAGGACAATGAGAGTGTCTTAATATTTGCTACTCTTTTAGAAGAGCAGAACTTCTATCAAAAGAGGCGTTGTAGGGATTCCATTTTACAAGGGGAAACGTATGTTATGGAGTTTTTAAACGGCCACAGAGAAAGATGTTATGAAAATTTTAGGATGTACCCTGAAGTTTTTAGAATATTGTGTAGTACCCTGAAAGGTATAGGGCTGAAAGATTCTAAATTTTTAACTGTTTATGAACAAGTGGCAATCTTTTTGCTCACTTTATCTCATAATCAAAGGAATCGTGTTGTAGCTGAGAGATTTCAACACTCCACTGAAACCATTTCTAGACACTTCCATGCTGTGTTACATGTAGTATGTCAGTTGGGCACCCATATCATTGCTCCTCCTGATTTTTCTGTGATTCCGAATAAGATTAGAGAGTCTTCTAGGTTTTTCCCTTACTTCAAGAATTGCGTGAGAGCTATAGATGGAACCCACATTCCTGCAACTCTGCTAACAAGTACACAACTTCCATTTCGCGGTAGAAAGGGTTATACCACACAAAATGTAATGGCTGTATGTGACTTTGACATGAGGTTCACATATGTGCTAGCTGGGTGGGAAGGCTCCGCTAATGATTCGAGAATCCTAAAGGAGTGTATTGAGAATGAGGCAATAAACTTTTCAGCTCCACCAGCAGGTAATATTATCTTACAAATTCACTTAATATATGGTTAGTTTATCTTACTGTATATATCTTTATGTATTTTAAACATGGCAGGTAAGTATTATTTGGTGGACTCAAGATATGCCAACAAGCCTGGTTATTTGGCCCCATTTCGAGGTCATACTTACCACTTTCAGGAATATCGTAGGACTAGACAACCTCGTGGTCGGGAGGAAGTGTTCAATCATAGGCATTCATCTTTGAGAAATATAATTGAGCGATGCTTTGGGTTGTTGAAGATGAGATTCGCTATTTTGAGGGCAATGCCTCCTTATAAGTTTTCAACACAAGTATTGATTGTAATGGCTTGTTGCACATTAGACAATTTCATCATAAATCAGCATCAGCCTGATGATTTATTTGATAGTAACGATCCTCCTCAAAGTGATGGTGAAGATGATGAGATTGTTGAGCATGTGCCTTCGGCTCAGCTTCGAGAAATGGATCAGTTGCGTAATACTATTGCTGATCGAATTTGGAATTCTCTTTAGCACTTTTGATCCTTCTGAAAGTGATGGTATATTTTTTCTTTTATATGTCATATATTTGTTGCTATTGTAAGCTTGTAATATATATATGTAATATAAATCATTTTTGCAGATATATAATTCAACTTAAATGCTATTATTGCAGATTTGAAGTGTGTTGATGCTCTCTTAAAGGCCACATGTGCTGTTATGAAGATGATGTGTCGTTGCCATTGTCATCCACTTTATGAACTTCTTATCAATTTTTACTGACAACTATGTATTGTTAATGCTTTATTCCAAACATTTTATGTACAACTTAAACTTGTTTAATTTGTTGGTTGAATATTTAAAGACTTGTAAATGGTATACACTCTATTTCAATTATGCTTTCAGTTGGGTTTGTTTTTATTTTAATGTTGTGTTGGACTATACAGGTAACAGGATAATAAAATTGAAACAGGTTATTGCAAAGAACTTGTAAATAGGTTATTGCTAATTTTTTTTACAAATGTTGACTCTCATGTAGTATAGTAAAATGTGACTAGAAATGTTTTTATTTTTAATGTTGTGTTGGACTATACATGTATAATGATAATAAAATTGAGGTGAGTTATTGCAAACAACTTGTAAATAGGTTATTGAAAAAATTTATATATATATATATATATGTTTGTGAGTTCAAATTTCTTCATATCTATTAAAAATATGATAACTATTTATAAATATACATAAAATTTATAAAAACAAATAAAAAACAAGGATAACCAAACATGTTTTTATATATATATATATTTTTTTAACGACAGTTGGACTGACCAAACATGTTTTGTTTTCAAAAATTTTGAAACGCATGACTTACCAAACATGTTTTGCATGTTTTTGCTTTCGACATTTTCACAACAAAACATCGTTCCCAAACGAGCTTCCAAATTTTTTTTAAAACACTCTTACAGTAAAAATACTGTTTCCATTTTAACTAAAAACAAAACGCCAAAATAAAGCACATGCCAAACGGGCTTAACGAGGAGAAACTTAAGGAAATGTTAGGTCATTAATTTTCCCGGGGAAAAGAGATGTTTGGTCTTCCTTGAAAGTGTGTGCATTCTTTTTCTCGAGGTAAGGCATTTTTATGGGATTTGACAGCTCCTGTTTGGCTGTTTATCAGAAAACCCTTTCAATCCTCTTCACTTGTATAATCTAGCTTTGCTTGGTTTCGCACTCAGAAAAAAGGTACATTTGTTTTCTCTGCAGTTGTGATTGTTTTACTGACTACATTTGAATCTTGTTTTCAAGGGCATTTTGGTTATAAAGCTAAATTCAGAGAACGTAATGCTGCTTATTGAACTTGAATCAATAAATAGAGGAATTGGGATGTCACGGTATATTCTTCTTAGGTTGTGTGTGTAAAAATTGAGTTTTTTTCTTTTCCTTTCTGATGTTTCCCCTAGATTGTATTGAAAACTAGACAGTTATAGCTCTAATGGTGTGAATTTACATTGGGAATATGTTACTTACTCTACTCTGTTTATTTTTAATTTTTACTTTAAATTAATTTAGTTTTTGGGTAATGTTTGTTCTCTTATGATTCACATATCTTGTTTTATTATGCGTTTCATATGGACAACTCTTCTCATAAATACAATGCCTGCAATTTATTTATTTTGTTAACAGATTCGTGAAGGCGAGTTCCTACTTAGTACTTCCTAGTAGCTTGCTTGTTTTAGAATGCATTCAAATGCATGCAACTTATTTGGTAAATTGCTTATGTTGTGATTTCATTATCCCCTTATAAGAGACGATCACGTGTTTTCCGTTTGACTACTCCTGATTTGTTGCTCTCTCTATATCTCGAAATGTTTGTTCGATATATACTGAATTGTTCTTCATATGAATGGAAATCAAACTTTAATTATTATGATTTCTTTACTTTTGGTGTGAATACCCTTGCCTATAACCTTTTCTTTGGCTTAATATTTGTTGACTTGATGTTACTGCATATTATACTTACTTTTTGATAATGCAAAATTTAGCCATTTGTTTGATCCAGAAGGACCGAGTACAGAACTAACTCTTTTGGTATTATTTGTACAAAGTGACTCGTCTCAGGAGTCGACTTGTGTTCCCCTGAGCATATTTTCAGCTCACCAAGTAATGCTAATATGTTATGTCGGCTTCAGAAGTGAATTTTTGAACTACCATGTCGCTTTTTAGTCATTTTTGAGAATGCTGTTGTAGTTGATGGTTGCTGAATGTGCCAAAATTTTCCAATGCTTTAATCAGTTGTTGCTTTACCTTAGGAAAATACTATGTCTATGGTGTAGACCTCTATACTTGCAGGTTCTCTTTAAGTTTTTGGGAATTCAAATTATTATGCTGGCATGTTATATGGTCTGGTGGGATTTTAAACTAATATGTGTTCTGCAAATCGATGTTTGACTCGTTAAGCTTTCTTTGATACACAATTGCCTCTAGATATTGTCGAATAGAATCCTATCTGTCATACATTCATAATTGTTGCCTTAATATGCTGCAACGTGTCATGCTGCTCAGGAAGATGTTGCCTTGATGCCATGTTGCCTTAGTTTATAGCTGATTCAAATATATGCCAACTACCATGTCACCTCAATAAGGTTCTGTTGAAAGGGCTTTTGGGCTGTTGGGACCTTCAAATACCACATTGCCTTGATATTTATCCTAATGGTACTAAAATATAAGATTTCTTAGATTGATAATTGCCGTGGTGGGAATTTTAATTTTACCTTTAAAGCTCCCCTGATACTGTTTCATTATGTTGAAACTGCAAGGAAAGCAAGAATTTCTAGCTCATTGGGCATAAAAAGTTCCATCAACAAGCATCGATTAAATGAGATTCCTAATACTCGATATCATTTGCTACTTAGGCAAGAGTTTCTAGCTTCTCTGGCCTAAAAAGTTTCATCTAAACTAGCTTACAGGTGATGTCTTAATACCTGTAAATTGTTTCATTGTGTTAGGAGGACAATGCATGTGTCTTAGGCCACCCACTGAAAAAAAAAAAAAAAAAACAGTAATGTCGTTCTGTATGCACACCAATTGCCTGAAATTCTTTGTAATGTACATATGTAGGTAATATCATCCCTCTAATTTCACTGGCTATCGTAAACTTCCTGGAGTTGCCAACAAGAAACTGAACAATTATTCTTTAACACCCCCCGCCACCCGCCCCCCCCCCCCCCCCCCCCCCCGGCTTGTCAATCAGAGGGAGTACTTTTCCAACTAAATTCTCACTCTAACATTCCCTTTTACTCAAATGCTAAAATATCATAGCTTCAATTGGAAAAACAGTGATAATGTTGGTGAAAATCTGAAATCGATTTGTTTATTTGACAAAGATCCAACTTCATTAAACACCTAGTTAGACTGAATGAGTAATTAACTTTGTAAATGCAGTCATCACATAGTTTTCTAATTTCACTCGGGGAGTGTAATAACTTTATAGTTTATACATATTTAGTGTTCAAGGTCACAAAATTCTCAACATACAATGAAAGAGGGAAATATAAAACCATTGCTGCTCATTTGCAGACTAAGACATCATTCTTGGTATTTGAAGTCCTTAGAACATACGATTTATTTATAGATGATGTTCTAATATTTAGAATCAGGAGCGGATGGACCTCAGTTCTTCTAGTAAAGCATTCAAATCAGAGTAAGATGATCCACCATCTTCAACGGCCCTCCTTGCCATATCTTGCAGTGCCCCGGCTCGGTTTCTCATTAACCCAGCTTCTTCACCAACCATTAACTGAGTCACTGCCTTCTCTATATCTTCCTTCTTTACAGAGGCCTTATTATCCTCTGCCCATCTAGACCATCCCTGAGCACCCACTCTCACTCCTACCCTCAAAACATCTGTCTCAAATTTTTCATTGGAAAACTGATCTGCAAAGTGTGGCCATGTGACCATTGGCACTCCTGCAGTCACTCCCTCCAGCAACGAGTTCCATCCACAGTGAGTCACAAACCCTCCAACGGCTTCATGTTCAAGGATGAGCACTTGCGGTGCCCACCCCCTTATTATCAGACCCTTCCCTTCCATTCTCTTCTCAAACCCTTCTGGCAACCACTCTTCCTCTTCTTGCTTCTCTTTTCTAACCACCCAAATGAATTGTTGTTCAGAAGCTTCAAGACCCCTTGCTATCTCAAGTAGCTGAGCAGCTGAAAAATTGGCTAAACTTCCAAAACATACATAGAGTACTGATTTTGGTTTCTTAGAGTCGAGCCAATTCAAACACTCTTGTTCATCAATTGAGGATTTATTTCCCCTCTTGCCTTTAAGTTCATTGTTTCTGTTGCATAACGAAACTGGACCAATATGCCATGTCTTTCTTCCTATAATCTCTCTGTAATATTCTGAATAAGCCGGTTCCAGCTCGTGGAAGCTGTTAACGAGAACTCCATAGCTTGTCTCCACCGATTTCTTAACTTTTTCAAGTAAAGTGGTTATATGGTTTTGAGTTCCTTCTCTAAGATGATCCGGCAGTTCTTGTCTTGTCATCTTTATTGTGTCTGGAAGTCCTGGCACAATGAAGGGTTCTGAATCAGATTCAATGTTTTCAAAGGGTTTATGGCACATTAAGTTGTGATAGACACAAAGAGGGAAGACACCGGTACCATGGAAAACCAGCCTTGGAATCCCAAGCTTGCCCGCTACTTCAGTAGCCCATGGAAAGAAAAGGTCAGCCACAAGGCAATCGGGATGGTCTTCCCTCAAGAGGTGTTCGAATGGTTCTTGAAGCAGATCAATAGCCTTGTAAAACTTCAGAACCATTTCTGGAGAAGTAACAGAAGTTAGGTTCTCACATCCTTCTGGCAACCCTACTTCCGAAGAAGAGAACTTAATAAGGCGGATACTGATGTCTGAGCCTAGTTTGGTATCCATGTCTATGGTTTTAGAGATGAGAGGAGCATTGAGGGGTGTTGTTATAATGGTTGCCTTGGCGCCGTGGCCAGAAAACAGTGTGGCCATGTCTACCATTGGGATCATGTGGCCATAAGCCATCACAGGAAAGAAGTAGATGTGCAGCTGCTGATGTTTTGAACCCATGAAGCTCTATAGGACGAATGAGAGTTTGGAACAAGGAGGATAAAAAGACTGAAATGAGGTTTGAAATTGAATTTGCAATGAATGGGATAGGAAGAGGCAGAGAGCTAAGCTAATGTTTTTTTGATTAGGTAGCTAGAAAAAGAACTAAGGTTTTTTTTCCGCCTATGCAATCTCATGTCTTGGTTCTACCCATTGCTTCAATATTTATATGCAGGGGAAGCTGAATTTAAATACATACAAGGATGGACTTCTTGTTGTAACTTCATGGTAATATAATCTCTTTAGATAAAAACATTTGAATATATTTAATTTCGTGATTGGCCTTGCTGATGCATGTGCTTGACCATTGGGGAATCAGAAAAAGCCCAGAACCATGGTATGAAGCTGCCTCTCTCTCTCTCTCTATATATATATATGTGTGTGTGTGTGTGTGTGTGTGTAACTGTGTTATTTTATTGGTCAAGTGCTTTTGTATTTGTTGACGTAGAGCGCAAGAAATATATTGAAAATCATTTGAGGTTGTCTCTATCACATTTGGTTTGCTTTTCAACATTATTATGGTAAAATAATCTCTTCAGTCAAAATATTTTAATTTGTTTAACATCATGGCAGTGTTTGTCTAGTGCTGTTTTATTTAGACACTTGGGGCTCAAGAGATCTACATGAAAATATACTTCAGAAAGTCTTTTTCGATTTAGTGCACAGACATACTAATTGTATTAAATTCTTTTATCAGAAAACACTCTTCAAGCGCAAGAAATGTCTTGAAACTAGTTGAGGCTTGGTATAAGTTAGGACCTTCAATATCTGTGAAGTATTTTTTATATCATGATAGTCAATTTTCATCACACATCGTCAAGTTCATGCCTTTTTAAGATCATTTGATTCAGCATGTCATTTGAACTGTTGCATGATATTTTGTGTAGAGCTTTTGCCCAGCTTCATGCTTAAATGTATATTTGATGTTTCAGTTTTGACTTTTGTTTCTCTTAGATTGGCATCTCTATATGCTTCAAATTTCATAATATGAGCTGATTACTTTTCCCTTTTGCAGTCCAATATGGTTATGATAACAATTATATTAGTAGTGTCTGTTTTACTTGACCATAATTCCAAAGAGAAGAATTATAAAGCTTGATCATTTTCGGAACCTGAGTTAGTAGGTTTGTTCACTGATAGGACTTGATGGTCCTATAAAATGAAAACTAGGATTTCTTTGTTATTTTATTTTTATTTTTATTTACATTTGAAAATTTTAATTTAAAAAAAAAAAAAACACTAATACTATAAAGGATATATATATATATATATATATATATATATATTTACAAATAATCAGAATGGTTTTGGGCTGGGATCACTTTTTAACTCTCCTCAAACCTACCTCTGTTCCTGTTAAAGTACATAAAAAATCTGACCCAATAGGAATTGTCTTGTTGTAACTCCATGGTAATGCACTCTCTTTAAAAAAAAAAAAAAAAAAAACACTTTAATATATTTAATTTCATGATTTCCCTTGTTGATGTGTGTGCTTGACCATTTGGCAATCAGACAAAGCATGGAACCATGGTATGAAGATGCCTCTCTCTATATATGTGTGTGTTATTTTATTGGTCCAGTGCTTTTGTATTTGTAGATGTAGAGCGCAGGAAATGTATTAAAAATTATTTGAGGTTGTCTCTATCACATTTGGATTACTTTTCAACTTTTTCATGGTAAAATAAAGTCTGCATTCAAAGTATTTCAATATATTTCACACAGTTCTTAGTCTAGTGGTGTTTTATATGGATACTTGGAGCCCAAAATATTTACATGAAATATACTTGAGAAAGTGTTTCTAGATTCAGTGAACAAACTTCTAATTGTGTTAAATCCTTTTGGCAGATAACAATAGATGTCTTGAAGACTTGGTAAAGGTTAGGACCTTCAATATATGTGAGGTATTTTTTACGTCCTGAAAGTCAATTTTCATCACATTTCATGAAACTTTTGCCTGGTTTCATGCTTAAATGCATATTTAATGTTTTAGTTTTGACTTTCGATTTCTCTTTTGCAGTCTAATATGATAAAATTTTGTGTCTGTTTTTCTTGACCCTAATTCCAAAGAGAAGAATTTTAAAGCTTTATCTTTATCCAAACCTGAAATTGATAGCCTTTGGCTGCAAACACTTCATAACAAATAGGCCCATTGAATTTATGCAAACTAGCTATTATTCCAAAAATTCTAGTAAACAGCCATCTTAATTAGATTGTTAAATGCTACATACTTACCTATGTCAATTACATACAAGTCCTACACTTTTCATTTTATAGGGCTATCAAATCCTAACATTGAACAAAGTTACTATATCTTCATCCATTGATAGGACTTGGTGGTCATATAAAATAAAAAGTAGGACTTCTTTCTAATATTTTTTTATTTTATTTTGTAAATTGAAGAAAGAAGCCGAAGGGCTTAGCGAGTTTGCATCCCTTAGATACATTGAGGTGGGACTCTGACCCTTCCGCTTCTTTCTTCGGTGCATATATCATGGGTTTTAATGGAGAAAGAGGGATATCCATTTCTTGCATTGTCCTTTTTCTGATTTATTAGTTTTTAGATTCTGCTGAGTACTTCTCTGGATTTTTTGATGCTATTGACACCTCCATCTTAAATCCGACCCACAAAGGACACAGTCTTATCTTGATTTAGATCCAGGATGGGTTCGAATCCTACTGTAATGCATAATTTTGGGAAAATAAAAATAAAAAATTCAATTCCTAAACAAATTGAAGTAAAAGTTTTTTAGATAATTAAATATAAGTATAAACAACACTTAATACTTTCATGCATGTATTTCCTAATTTTGTAATTATAACTTAAAAGTGTGATTAAAGAAAAGGAAAATTTAATAATATTATAATTAATGAATTATATTCTTTACAACTAATCTGAGTGCGACTGAATCAGATTTTGACTCTAGTCAAACCAGCCCTAACTCGGATTACAATACATCAAATCCAGCTCAATAGGAATAGGGTGGGACAGGTTACTGGGTAGATAAATTTGTGATTCATATCTTGGTATATAAATGTATAAATTTTGAAGAAAAAATCAAGAGTTGGGAAGGAAGTAATTTTTCTTTTAGAGAATTATGGAAAACGTATAGAAACATTAAAAGGAAATCTCTTTTATTTTGCGAAAAGCCTGTGCTCATGATTTTTCAAAATCCACCTGTTTTAGCCCTTTTATTTTATTATTTTTCCATCAAATTTCCATGAAGAGAACATTTTCAAGAAGAATATGGTTTGAACCATAAAATGGAATTCATGGCAACAGTATGGGAAAATGAACTTCAACATTGATTTAGTACAAAAACTTCAACACTTGCAAACCCTTTCCATTAGCATATTTTCAACCCTGACATGATTGTAAATCCTTCGTAATTCTGGTTTGACGAAACCACTTAGTGTAGATAAAATCTAAGGCTCAGTCTATACTCAATCCACCATCCCGGCCAACAACTATACTCCAGCTAATGGCCTTCTGTATGCACACCGATTACCTGAAGTTCCTTATTATCAATTGTTTACAAAATTTCCATAGGTCTACGCGTTGCAGATTGTGTTATGTACATATGTAATCCTCTAATTCCAAACTTCCTGGAGTAGCTGACAAGAAACTGAACGATTAATTTTTTTCCCTCTCTTGTCAATCTAAGGGAGTACTTCTCCAACTGCATTCTCGCTCTGTTAACATTGGTTTTAACTCAAATGGCTTAAATTTCATTTCTTCAATTGGAAAAGCAGTGATAATGTTGCGGAAAACCTGAAAAATCCATTTTCTATTGGCTAAAGATATAAATTCGTTGCACGCCTACTTAGATTGGATGACTAATTAACTTTGTAATTGTAATCATCACATTGCTTCATAACTTCACTCGTGGTGTGGAATGACTTTGTAGTTTATATATTATATAGTTGACATATAAAGTCACAGAATTCTCAACATATACAACAAAAGAAGGACATATAAAACCAGTTTCGCTCATTTGTAAACTTGCTAAGACATAATCCTTCATATTTGAAGTCCTTAGAACATAAGATTGATGTATAGATGATGTTCTAATAGTTAGTGTCAGGAGTGGATGGACCTCAGTTCTTCGAGTAAAGCATTCAAATCAGAGTAAGATGATCCACCATCTTCAACGGCCCTCCTTGCCATATCTTGCAGTGCCCCTGCTCGGTTTCTCATTAACCCAGCTTCTTCACCAACCATTAACTGAGTCACTGCCTTCTCTATATCTTCCTTCTTTACAGAGGCCTTATTATCCTCTGCCCATCTAGACCATCCCTGAGCACCCACTCTCACTCTACCCTCAAAACATCCGTCACAAATTTTTCATTGGAAAACTGATCTGCAAAGTGTGGCCATGTGACCATTGGCACTCCTGCAGTCACTCCCTCCAGCAACGAGTTCCATCCACAGTGAGTCACAAACCCTCCAACGGCTTCATGTTCAAGGATGAGCACTTGCGGTGCCCACCCCCTTATTATCAGACCCTTCCCTTCCATTCTCTTCTCAAACCCTTCTGGCAACCACTCTTCCTCTTCTTGCTTCTCTTTTCTAACCACCCAAATGAATTGTTGTTCAGAAGCTTCAAGACCCCTTGCTATCTCAAGTAGCTGAGCAGCTGAAAGATTGGCTAAACTTCCAAAACATACATAGAGTACTGATTTTGGTTTTTTAGAGTCGAGCCAATTCAAACACTCTTGTTCATCAATTGAGGATTTATTTCTCCTCTTGCCTTTAAGTTCATTGTATCTGTTGCATAATGTAACTGGACCAATATGCCATGTCTTTCTTCCTATAATCTCTCTGTAATGTTCTGAATAAGCCGGTTCCAGCTCGTGGAAGCTGTTAACGAGAACTCCATAGCTTGTCATCTCCGATTTCATAGCTTTTTCAATTAAAGCGGTTATATGGTTTTGAGTTCCTTCTCTAAGATGATCCGGCAGTTCTTGTCTTGTCATCTTTATTGTGTCCGGAAGTCCTGGCACAATGAAAGGTTCTGAATCTGATTCAATGTCTTCAAAGGGTTTATGGCGCAATAAGTTGTGATAGACACAAAGAGGGAAGACACCGGTACCATGGAAAACCAGCCTTGGGATCCCAAGCTTGCCAGCTACTTCAGTAGCCCATGGAAAGTAAATGTCAGCCACAAGGCAATCCGGACGGTCTTCCCTCAAGAGGTGTTCGAATGGTTCTTGAAGCAGATCAATAGCCTTGTAAAACTTCGGAACCATTTCTGGAGAAGTAACAGAAGTTAGGTTCTCACATCCTTCTGGCAACCCTACTTGCGAAGAAGAGAACTTAATAAGGTGGATACTAATGTTTGAGCCTAGTTCGGTATCCATGTCTATGGTTTTAGTGATGAGAGGAGCATTGAGGGGTGTTGTTATAATGGTTGCCTTGGCGCCATGGCCAGAAAATAGTTTGGCCATGTCTACCATTGGGATCATGTGGCCATGAGCCATCATAGGAAAGAAGTAAATGTGCAGCGGCTGAGGTTTTGAACCCATGAGGCTCTATATGACGAATGAGGGTTTGGAACAAGGATGATAAAAAGACTGAAATGAGGTCTGAAATTGAATTTGCAATGAATGGGATAGGAAGAGGCAGAGAACTAAGCTAATGTTTTTTTGATTAGGCAGCTAGAAAAAGAACTAAGGTTTTTTTTTCGCCTATGCAATCTCATGTCTTGGTTCTACCCATTGATTCAATATTTATATGCAGGGGAAGCTGAATTTAAATACATACAAGGACGGACTTCTTGTTGTAACTTCATGGTAATATAATCTCTTTAGAAAAGAACATTTGAATATATTTAATTTCATGATTGGCCTTCTGTTGCATGTGCTTGACCATTGGGGAATCAGACAAAGCCTGGAACCATGGTATGAAGCTGCCTCTCCCTATATGTGTGTGTGTGTGTGTAACTGTGTTATTTTATTGGTCAAGTGCTTTTTTATTTGTTGACGTAGAGCGCAAGAAATATATTGAAAATCATTTGAGGTTGTCTCTATCACATTTGGTTTTCTTTTCAACATTATTATGGTAAAATAATCTCTTCAGTCAAAATATTTTAATTTGTTTAACATCATGGCAGTGTTTGTCTAGTGCTGTTTTATTTAGATACTTGGGGCTCAAGAGATCTACATGAAAATATACTTCAGAAAGTCTTTTTCGATTTAGTGCACAGACATACTAATTGTATTAAATTCTTTTATCAGAAAACACTCTTTAAGCGCAAGAAATGTCTTGAAACTAGTTGAGGCTTGGTATAAGTTAGGACCTTCAATATCTGTGAAGTATTTTTTATATCATGATAGTCAATTTTCATCACACATCGTCAAGTTCATGCCGTTTTAAGATCATTTGATTCAGCATGTCATTTGAACTGTTGCATGATATTTTGTGTAGAGCTTTTGCCCAGCTTCATGCTTAAATGTATATTTGATGTTTCAGTTTTGACTTTTGTTTCTCTTAGATTGGCATCTCTATATGCTTCAAATTTCATAATATGAGCTGATTACTTTTCCCTTTTGCAGTCCAATATGGTTATGATAACAATTATATTAGTAGTGTCTGTTTTACTTGACCCTAATTCCAAAGAGAAGAATTATAAAGCTTGATCATTTTCGGAACCTGAGTTAGTAGGTTTGTTCACTGATAGGACTCGATGGTCCTATAAAATGAAAACTAGGATTTCTTTGTTATTTTATTTTTATTTTTATTTACATTTGAAAATTTTAATTTAAAAAAAAAAAAAACACTAATACTATAAAGGATATATATATATATATATATTTACAAATAATCAGAATGGTTTTGGGCTGGGATCACTTTTTAACTCTCCTCAAACCTACCTCTGTTCCTGTTAAAGTACATAAAAAATCTGACCCAATAGGAATTGTATTGTTGTAACTCCATGGTAATGCACTCTCTTTAAAAAAAAAAAAAAAAAACACTTTAATATATTTAATTTCATGATTTCCCTTGTTGATGTGTGTGCTTGACCATTTGGCAATCAGACAAAGCATGGAACCATGGTATGAAGATGCCTCTCTCTATATATGTGTGTGTTATTTTATTGGTCCAGTGCTTTTGTATTTGTAGATGTAGAGCGCAGGAAATGTATTAAAAATTATTTGAGGTTGTCTCTATCACATTTGGATTACTTTTCAACTTTTTCATGGTAAAATAAAGTCTGCATTCAAAGTATTTCAATATATTTCACACAATTCTTAGTCTAGTGGTGTTTTATATGGATACTTGGAGCCCAAAATATTTACATGAAATATACTTGAGAAAGTGTTTCTAGATTCAGTGAACAAACTTCTAATTGTGTTAAATCCTTTTGGCAGATAACAATAGATGTCTTGAAGACTTGGTAAAGGTTAGGACCTTTAATATATGTGAGGTATTTTTTACGTCCTGAAAGTCAATTTTCATCACATTTCATGATTAGTCTTTCTTTATAAAACTTTTGTCTGGTTTCGTGCCTAAATGCATATTTAATGTTTCAGTTTTGACTTTTGATTCTCTTAGATTGGCAACTCTATGTGCTTCAAATTTCATAAAGTTACTATATTTTCATCCATTGACAGGACTTGGTGGTCATATAAAATAAAAAGTAGGACTTCTTTGTAATTTTTTTATATTATTTTGTAAATTGAAGAAAGAAGCCGAAGGGCTTAGCGAGTTTGCATCCCTTGGATACATTGAGGTGGGACTCTGACCCTTCCGCTTCTTTCTTCGGTGCATATATCATGGTTCTTAATGGAGAAAGAAGGATATCCATTTCTTGCATTGTCCTTTTTCTGATTTATTAGTTTTTAGATTTTGCTGAGTACTTCTCTATACATTTTGATGCTATTGACACCTCCATCTTAAATCCGACCCACAAAGGACCTTATCTTGATTTAGATCCAGGATGGGTTCGAATCCTACTGTAATGCATAATTTTGGAAAAATAAAAATAAAAAATTCAATTCCTAAACAAATTCAAGAAAAAGTTTTTTAGATAATTAAATATAAGTATAAACAACACTTAATACTTACATGCATGTATTTCCTAATTTTGTAATTAGAACTTAAAAGTGTGATTAAAGAAAAGGAAAATTTAATAATATTATAATTAATGAATTATATTCTTTACAACTAATCTGAGTGGGACTGGATCAGATTTTGACTCTACTAAAAGCAGCCCTAACTCGGATTACAATACATCAAATCCAGCTCAATAGGAATAGGGTGGGACAGGTTATTGGGTAGATAAATTTGTGATTCATATCTTGGTGTATAAATGTATAAATTTTGAAGAAAAAATCAAGAGTTGGGAAGGAAGTAATTTTTCTTTTAGAGAATTATGGAAAATGTATAGAAACATTAAAAGAAAATCTCTTTTATTTTGCGAAAAGCCTGTGGTCATGATTTTTCAAAATCCACATGTTTTAGTCCTTTTCTTTTATTATTTTTCCATCAAATTTCCATGAAGAGAACATTTTCAAGAAGAATATGGTTTGAACCATAAAATGGAATTCATGGCAACAGTTTGGGAAAATGAACTTCAACATTGATTTAGTACAAAAATTTCAACACTTGCAAACCCTTTCCATTAGCATATTTTCAACCCTGACATGATTGTAAATCTTTCGTAATTCTGGTTTGACGAAACCACTTAGTGTAGATAAAATCTAAGGCTCAGTCTATACTCAATCCACCATCCCGGCCAACACCTATACACCAGCTAATGGCCTTCTGTATGCACACCGATTACCTGAAGTTCCTTATTATCAATTGCTTGCAAAATTTCCATAGGTCTACGCGTTGCAGATTGTGTTATGTACATATGTAATCCTCTAATTCCAAACTTCCTGGAGTAGCTGACAAGAAACTGAACGATTAATTTTTTTCCCTCTCTTGTCAATCTAAGGGAGTACTTCTCCAACTGCAGTCTCGCTCTATTAACATTGGTTTTAACTCAAATGGCTTAAATTTCATTTCTTCAATTGGAAAAGCAGTGATAACTTTGTGGAAAACCTGAAAAATCTATCTATTGGCCAAAGATATAAATTCGTTGCACGCCTAGTTAGATTGGATGACTAATTGACTCTGTAATTGTAATTATCACATTGCTTCATAACTTCACTCATGGTGTAGAATGACTTTGTAGTTTATATATTATATAGTTGACATATAAAGTCACAGAATTCTCAACATATACAACAAAAGAAGGACATATAAAACCAGTTTCTCTCATTTGTAAACTTGCTAAGACATAATCCTTCATATTTGAAGTCCTTAGAACATAAGATTGATGTATAGATGATGTTCTAATAGTTAGTGTCAGGAGCGGATGGACCTCAGTTCTTCGAGTAAAGCATTCAAATCAGAGTAAGATGATCCACCATCTTCAACAGCCCTCCTTGCCTTTTCTTTCAATGCCCTTGCTCGGTTCCTCATTATCTCAGCTTCTGCACTGACCATTAACTGAGTCACTGCCATCTCTATATCTTCCTTCCTTACAGAGCCCTTATTATCCTCTGCCCATCTAGACCATCCCTGAGCACCCACTCTCACTCCTATCCTCAAAACATCCGTCACGAATTTTTCATTGGCAAACTGATCTACAAAGAGTGGCCATGTGACCATTGGCACTCCTGCAGTCACTCCCTCCAGCAACGAGTTCCATCCACAGTGAGTCACAAACCCTCCTACGGCTTCATTTTCAAGAATTAGCACTTGGGGTGCCCACCCCCTTATTATCAGACCCTTCCCTTCAATTCTCTTCTCAAACCCTTCTGGCAACCACTCTTCCTTTTCTTCCTTTTCTTTTCTAACCACCCAAATGAATTGCTGTTCAGAAGCTTCAAGACCCTTTGCTATCTCAAGTAGCTGAGCAGCTGAAAAATCGGCTAAACTTCCAAAACATACATAGAGTACTGATTTTGGTTTCTTAGAGTCGAGCCAATTCAAACACTCTTCTTCATCAATCGAGGATTTATTTCCCCTCTTGCCTTTAAGTTCATTGTCTCTGTTGAATAACGAAACCGGACCAATATGCCATGCCTTTCTTCCTACAACCTCCCTGTAATATTCTGAATAAGCTGGTTCCAGCTCGTGGAAGCTGTTCACGAGAACTCCATAGCTTGTCAATTCCGCTTTCATAATTTCTTGAAATAAAGTGGCTATATAGTTCTGAGTTTCTCCTTCTCTATTATGATCAGACAGTTCTCGTCTTGTCATCTTTATTGTGTCCGGAAGTCCTGGCACAATGACGGGTTCTGAATCTGATTCAATGTTTTTGAAGGGTTTATGGTGGACTAAGCTGTGATGGACACAAAGTGGGAAGACACCGGTACCATGGAAAACCAGCTTTGGAATCCCAAGCTTGCTTGCTAACTCAGTAGCCCATGGAAAATACATGTCAGCCACAAGGCAATCAGGGCTGTCTTCCCTCAAGAGTTGTTCGAATGGTTCTTGAAGCATATAAGTAGCCTTGTAAAACTTCACAATCATCTCCGGAGAAGTGACAGAGGATAGGTTCTCACATCCTTCTGGCAACCCTACTTCCAAAGAAGAGAATTTAATGACTCGGATACTGATGTTTGAGCCTAGTTCGGTATCCATGTCGATGGTTTTAGAGATTAGAGGCGCATTGAGGGGTGTTGTGATAATGGTTGCCTTCACACCGTGGCCGGAAAATAGTTTGGCCATGTCTACCATTGGAATCATGTGGCCGTGAGCCATCATAGGAAAGAAGTAGATGTGCAGCTGATGAGGTTTTGAAGCCATGTGGCTTTGTAGAGTTTTGGAACAAGGGTGATAAAAAGACTGAAATAAGGTATTGAATTGTATTTGCAATGAGTATGAGATAGGAAGTGGCAGAGAGCTAAGCTAATGAGTTTTTGATTAGTAGCTAGAAGAAGAACTAAATTTGGGTTTTTTTGTTTGGTTCTACCCCTTTATTCAATATTTATGTGCAGGGGATGCTGAATTTTGATACATACAAGGATTGACTTCTTGTTGTAACTTCTTGGTAATATAATCTCTTTAGAAAAAGAAAAAAAAACATTTTAATATAATTTAATTTCATTATTGGCCTTGATGTGATGCTTGTTCTTGACAGTTGAGCAATCAGACAAGACAAAGCATGGAACCATGGTATGAAGCTGCCTCTCTGTTTATATAATATATATGTGTGTGTTATTTTATTGGTGAAGTGTTTTGTATTTGTAAATTATTTGAGGCTGTCTCTATCAAATTTGGATTGTTTTTCAACTTTATCATGGTAAAATAATCTCTTCAACAAAAAAATTTCAATATGTTTATTATGATGGCAGTTTGTGTGTGTGTAGAAAATACATACAAATCTTAGTCTGCTATTGTTTTATTTGGGTACTTGGAGCCCAAGGGATCTACATGGAATGTACTTCAGAAAGTCTTTCTAGTCTTCTAGATTCAGTGAACAGACTTCTCATTCTTATTGTATTAAATCCTTTTGATAGATAACGTGCTTCAAGCGCTAGAAATGCCTTGAATTTAGTTGAGACTTGGTAAAAGTTGGGACCTTTAACATACGTGAGGTATTTTTTACATCCTAAAGTCAACTGTCATCACAAATGATTTGTTTCGTGATAGGTCTTTCTTCATAAAACTTTTGCCTTGTTTCATGGTTGAATGCATCCCTTTTGATTCTTCTTGGCCAAGCTAGTTATATATAATTACAAATTTCATAAAATGAGTTGATTGCTTCCCCTTATGCAGTCCAATAGTGTTAAACGCTAGATGCTTACCTATGTCATGGATATTAACAGGAAAATAATTATTTTTAAACAGAAGAAAGAAGATGATCGAAGGGGATAACAGAAGAGTTTTGCATTTCTTGGATGTATTGAGGTGGGACTTCGACCCTTCGACTTCTTTCTTCGGTGCATATATCATGGCTCTTAACTGAGAAAGACGATAATCATTTCTAAGCGTTGTCCCAACTTTCTGTGATTTATTAGCTTCTTGATCTTGCTTGGTACTTCACGAGACACCTCCATCCTAAACCCGTCCCGTGCACGACGTTTTATCTTTACCTTTGATTTAGAGCCAAGAAGGGTTTGAGTCATATTTTATTGTATAATTTTTTAAGCCAAATAATAATAATAATAATAAAAATAAAAATAAAAGTCAAATTCTAAACAAATTCAGCATAAAATTTTTAGAAAATTATATATAAGAAACAAATACTTAAAAGTTACGTGCATATATTTATTAATATTGTAAAAACTTAAAATATCATGAAAAGAAAAAAAAAATAGTAATATTATAATTTAGTGAATTATATTATTTACAACTAATCAAGTGGGACTTGGATCGATTTTTTACTGTCATCAAACATACCTCCCTGCTTGGATTACGTTTCATAAAAATCAAGCCCAATAGGAATGGGGTGGGACACGTACACACTTAAGTAAAGTTGTGATCCATATATTTTTGGTGTATATGTTAAATTACACATACACCTGAGCTAATGGAGGGGGTGTAACACCAACAACCCAACTCCAAAATGTTTCCTAAAATGTTCAGATTAACTACTTAGGCTTATTTATTAAAGTGAAGTAATTAAGATCATTGAAGTCTATAATAGGGCTGTAACTTGGCGGACTAACCCAGCCCAACCCAACCCCAACCCAAAAAATTTGAAATATGGGTTTAAAATTCACAAAACGGGCTCATACTCAAAATAAAATAATTTTTTTTTTCTCCTTTCTCCTCTCTCTTCTTTCTCTTTGTCTCTTTTCTTTCTCTTTCTCTCTCTGCCGCCGTCCCCTTTGCTTTCGCCGCTACAGTTACTTCCAAAAATTAAAACAAAACCCATACATACAAGTTAGCAGTTGCAGAGAGAGGGGGGCAAGCTTGAGAGTTGAGAGATAGCGGCTGAAGTTTGCGAACGGCGAACCCGAACTAGAACAGCGGGCAATGGAAACTAAAAGATATGGGTTTTGATATAGGTAATAGGTTTTGAACTTTTTATTCTTGTAGACAGATAGATAAACTGAAATATATGGGTTTTGAACTTCTGATTCTTGTAGATTTTGTAGTTTGCAATTGCAGAGAGAGAGGGGGGCAAGTTCAGAGTCAAGAACGAGAATAGAGATAGAGGCGATTGGGAAGGCTGAAATGATTTGTCCTAAAAATATTTTGTTTTTTAATAATAATATAATCAAATATATATAAATTTCCAAAAAAAAAAAAAAAAAAAACTCAACTCGATCTGACTCGTTCGAAAATATTTGGTCCGGGTTATGACCATAACCCTTGTTAGGTACAATTCGAATTGCTTCAACCCAACCCGATTCGGGTTGAGGTTGGGTTGGGCCAGCCCAACTTGTAGCCCTAGTCTGCAATGAGCTCTAGAACAGAATCCCACTTCAGACTATTAATGATCATAATTGTTTCATTTTGATAAATAAACCTAACTAGTAACTAGTAAGCCTGAATATTATTTTTCTTTCTAGAATAGTCCTCTCTCTATTCATTATTCCTCTAAGCATGATGAATATAATATTGAGCTAACTTGCATCTTCTAAGTTATGTCTAAATGAAAAGTTCGGAGAGGTGAATGGCCACTTAAGTAAATAAAACGAGCTTTAGGGTAGGTGTGTGTTACAAGGGTCATTTGTCCCATATCAGATCTGGATGGAAAATTGATTGGGTATAAATGGGTGGGTATGCAGCATTACTCAATGGTTTGAATTTTTAGGTAAATGGGCAAGCGTCCACTTCTTATAGTTGGTATAAGAGTCAGACCCAATCCTTGATCCGGTGTCATGCCAAGCGCTTGGCCCGAAGGGCGTCTGGGTTTGCAGTTCGGGTAGGCAGGGTGGCCTGAGCAGCAACGAGGGCATTGTGAGTTTGGGTGAGAGAGAATGTAACCAGGGTTATTTGTCCCACATCAAATTCGGATGGGAAAGTGATTGGGTATCAATGGGTGGATATGCAGTACTACCAAATAGTTTGAATTTTTGGGTAAATGGGTAAGCGTTCACCCGTTACAGTTGGTATCAAAGTCAGACCCAATTCTTGATCCGATGCTAAGCTAAGCGCCTGACCCTAAAGGTGTCTGGGTGAACCACCCCGGGTTGGCAGGGTGGCCCGATCGCAACGAGGGCGTTGCGAGTTCGGGTGTGAAAGAATGTTATATTGGATCCAGATGAAAAAGTGATTGGTTATAAATAGATGGGTATGCAGCACTATCCAACAACTTAAACTTTTGAGTAAATGAGTAAACGCCCACCCGTTATAGTGGTGTTACAGGTCTAATCTCTTGTGGGTCAAAGCTAGTCAAAGTTAAAATTGAAAGGTTCATATAGGTTTTTTTGGACAATACTGTAGTCTTTCCTAGAACGAATAAAAACTCGGCACCTGCCCAAAAAATTATATAATATTAAAAATAAAAAATTTAAATGAGACTCATTTTTACTGGGTTAAATGATAGAACTCATATGAGAAAAGAAATTCCCCACCTTCCTTCACAACCTTGACCGCTGTTGCATTCAATAAAAATAAAATAAAATAAAATAAAAAAAATCTTAATGGTTGTCGCTGCACACCTTCCACCACCACGCAGGCACTCCCCACCGTCAGCCACCACAGCAGCCACTCCCTACCCCTCTCTAGTAATCACCAAAATCACCTATATGGAGATGCTAAACAAAAGCTAGTGGACGCAACGAAATTCCTCTGCTATGGCGTCTACGATATCAATCTCCCTAGAGATTCGATTATTCTATTGTCAAAATGCTTTTGTTATATAAATCACAAACAAATCAGTAATCGAAATTGAAGATTTTGATCGGTCACGAAGAATTAAGTGGCCGAAGTTCGGTGATTACGGCCAACAAACCTTATCTTCGTCATGACACAATTTTGATCTTTTCATGACATAATCCCAAAGTATAAATCAAGCTTTCTTCACTTGTAACATAATAGTGAATTAGATGATTTAGATTAAATAATAGTGTTATATTAAAAAAATGGTTATTACATAATAGGATAAATGCCATTAATCATAGATCATTTTATTTATTTTTTTATTTTTATGAGAGCAAGAGTATATATGTAATGACATGCAATGAGTGAAACTTAAAATCTTGAATAACTATCAGCTGACACACTAATAGCAATCATGATTCTCTCAATTTAACACTTCATGTGCTTGAAAAATTTGCGCAGTGCCGGTAAAATTGTAAGAATAATATGATGATTAATTTTATTTTATTTTATTTTTAATTAGGTAAATACTCACAACACCTACAAATGCCCACTGTTGAAAGGAATAGAATACTTTGAATATAATGTTAATGTTGTTACTTAATTATTCATAAAGTGCAACACTTCTTCAATTCCCACGTTTAAAGGGTTCCCATATCATCATAATGCCACTGCCCTCAACCATGGTCACTTTTCTAATTATATATATATATATATATATATATATATATATATATATATTCAAATGGGGGCCAATAATATTCCTACCATATCTCATTGGTTATCCCACTAATTTCCCCATTTATGTGTAGATGATTGCGTTTTCTGTGTGAAAACTACACTAAGGGGGAATTTCTAGCCCCATTTATGAGTGGGTGATTGCCTTTTTGAAATGTGAGAATTACGTCATTTAGTGTAAGCCATGGAAGCTGAGACTGGACCTATATAAGGTCAGTTTCTATTCTCCTAGCCACCATTTGTGGCCTTTTTAAAAGTGAACCTTTCATAATGCGCTCTCTCCAAGTGCCCTAAAATTTTCTCACATGAGTTTTTGAAAAGTTTAATCGCGTAAGGCCACCTCATAAATTGAGGGCACATCCACGTCATTTAAGTATATGTATATAACGCAGTGTAGTCCAAACATTTTCAATTTTTTACAAGTACTCACAAATACTCATCTGGATCTCCTTTAATGTCAAAGGGCATTATTGTGGCCAAAATGGTAGAGTTCTTGTGCGGCTGTGTTCGTGTTCGGGTTCCCATTCTCATTTCTGTCAAAGATAAAACAAAAAAAGACCCAATATCAAATTTTTTCTTGAAAAGTGATACAACCGTCAAAAATTGGACGCATTCAATTACTTTAATGTGAACTGAGTGTGGGACCCACCATGATGTCAATGGGTGCATCGATCCTGACATACAATATATCATGTTTTATTCAGTTTGGGATAGAACTTATAAAAAGGTTGGGATCCACTAAAGAGGATTCTAGTAGATCCCTTACTTTAAACTAGTTGTATGCATTGGACTTTCAAAAGTTGGACCAAATATAAAATTCTTTTTTTCATTTCAATTGCTCAAGGTACAACAATATTATTGTTAGACTCGTCAATTCAAGTTTCAGTTACCAAGGTTCTCGTAACCTTAGTAGAACTTTCTCGCCATTCAAATGAGACACTTGAGAGCAGTGACGGAGTCAGAATTTCAAGTGAGGGGGGCACCTGCCAAAAAAAATAATAATAATAATACTAATACGGAGTGTGTATATATATATATATATATATATATATATAACAATTATAAAATTCAAAAAGACAAAGAAGAAGAAAATTATTAAAATATAAAAGGAAAGAAAAATGAAAGAACTTTAATAGGAAATAGTTAAAAAGTTTCAATTGAGTAAGAAAAATTTGACTTTTTCTACTAAGGAAATTTAAGGAATGTGAAGAGTAAAAGAAAAATTAAAAATATAATTTTAGGAATTACAAATTTGAGGGGGCACTATATAAATTTTTTCATATATATGGAATTTTTTAAAAAAATTACGACATATATTATAGGTTACTGACCAACTCAGGGGGGCACGTGCCCCCCCCTAGGTCTTCATTAGCTCCGTCCCTACTTGAGAGTTCAAGTTCTCGTAGGGACAAAAAGTGAATGTGTGAGTAGTGTGTTTCTTACCTACGAAAAAAAAAAGTTATGATATTCAAGCCGATTAGTTAAATCTATTTGTCAAAATGAAATACTTGAAACCATTGCTAATATCAAGTGGAACCTAAAATGGGATTCCACTTCACATCATCATCGACCTTAATTATTTAACTTCATTCCAAAAACGAAAGTTTTAATTAATCTTAAGTATTGTAGTCGGAAAAATGATTTGGTGGCCCCAAAGTTTAGCCTAATGGACATGCATGTTGAAGTGCTCCCCATCCATCCACAAAGATGATTTGTGTGGGATGACGTCGATGAGAACCATTTCACTCACTTTCCCAGCGTGGCCTTTAACCACTCACCGCAAAAGTTTAAACCTAATTTAAGATATTATGTAATTAATTTTATCCTTAATATATACTAGCTTCACATAACAACAATCTCATCTAATAAATGAAATTTGGGTCTCAACTATCTAAAAGTATTTCTCTGAATAAGAATGTCCTTTGGGCTATAGGTCTATAAATAAGAATGTTGCTCAGCTTAATTCACTTTTTTCTTAATGATACGATCATAAATTTGAGTGAAGATTAGAAAATAATTCAAAAAGAAAGTAAGCTTGTTCGAATAAGTAAAAGATTCAGATTTTGTTAATTTGTTTTGGTAACATTAGTTATGAAAGGAATAAAAATAGCATCATTTATCATTTATATATATATATATATATATATATATATATTTATTTATTTATTTATTTAGAGTCGGATGATTTCAGTTCAGTTCCATCACTAGTGTCATCTCCCACTCATGTCTCCGACTCATAATTATGATTCTTTTTTTTCTGACAAAAAAACTTACACTCAAACGTCCCTACGAAGACTTAAAAGCGTCTATCGTTTACTTTGAAATGTAATTTAAAACCACCAAACTACCACTATTGGTTGAAAAGACAGTACTATTTAATTACTAAACGCATTTACCTACCTAAAGTATTTATAATCATAATATCAATATGTGAAATGTTTAACTCGGATAAGCCCATGAAAATTTCTGAAAACGAAATGGCAACAACCAAATCAACCAGTATAAAACGTACAGAGATCGATCAGTATATTAATTAATGGTAATCTCCATCTTCTACTACACTCTCTCTCTCTCTCTCCCACACACACACAAACACACACACACAATGAGAAGCATCTCTTTTTATATCAAACGTCTAGTCCTCTACCTCATTATTACCATTCCTTATTTCTTCCACATAAATTGCCTAGAATGTGGATGCCAACCACCAGCACCTCCACCAGAACCAGAACCCTTAATCTTCCTAGACCTAAGACTCGCCATCATTTATCCGGTGATCCAACTCTTCAAGAACACAATCACCTCTGACCCCCTTGGAATCACCCAAACCTGGACCGGCCCCAATATATGCAACTACACCGGCTTTTACTGCGACAACCCACCGGACAATCGCTCCGCCCTTGCTATCGCCGCCATTGATTTCAACGGCTTCCAGCTCGCCGCTCCAACCCTAGACGGATTCCTTGATCAGCTCCCAGACCTTGCCATCTTCCATGCAAACACCAACAACTTCTCCGGCACCATCTCGCCAAACATCACCAAATTACCATACTTCTACGAGCTTGACATAAGTAACAACAAGTTTTCCGGGCCGTTTCCGGCCTCCGTGCTCGGCATCACCGACCTTACATTCCTCGACGTCCGGTACAACTTCTTTACCGGATCAGTCCCACCACAGGTCTTCATGCAAACCCTAGACGTACTCTTCCTTAACAACAACAATTTCATTCAGACTCTACCCGATAACCTCGGCTCAACTACGGCGCTTTATCTCACCTTTGCCAACAACAAGTTCACCGGCCCAATTCCCCGGAGCATCGGAAAAGCCAATTCGACTTTACTGGAGGTTCTGTTCCTCAACAACGAGCTCACCGGCTGCATTCCTTATGAATTAGGGTTTCTGAATAAATCGACGGTGATCGACATTGGAAACAACCGGCTGATAGGTCCGCTGCCGTACTCGTTGGGGTGTTTGGCGGCCGCGGAGCAGCTCAACTTCGCCGGGAACTACCTGTACGGACAGGTGCCGGAGGTGGTGTGCGCCCTAGGAAATTTGGTCAACTTATCTTTGTCATACAACTATTTTACTTCAGTGGGGCCCATCTGTTGGCAGAAGATCAAGAGTGGGGTCCTTGATGTGAGGAAGAATTGCATTTATGGGCTGCATGGTCAGAGATCACCGGCCGAGTGTTGGTGGTTCTTTTGGCACCATCGATGGTACCACTGTCCCTACCACCCCGCGTTGTACCATTTCATTCCTTGTAAGCATCCTCCACTTATTTATAGCTATACACCACCACCTCCTCCTCAGTCAACGCCTAAGGGTAGACGTTTGTTTTCGTATTCCGCTCTCCTCAGACATAGATTGTGATGACTTTTTCTGCTGATGGAATCAGGATAATGGGTGTCATTGTGATTTGGTTGACTTGCGATGTTTATGGTTGATACATTTTCTTAGTTTTATGGTTGATACATTTTCTTAGTGCAGTGGCAAAACTAGGAGAAAATTATGTATACAAAATGTTTATTATATAAAATGATGTGGTTACAATCACATTAAAATGTTAATGTCTGTTTTATTTGTAATTTTTTTGCTGAATTTGGTATAAATGTTCTCTCCGAGGTAGTGTTTCAGATTTGAAAAATGGTGCACAAATATATGTATATATATTTGAAAATGAAAAACCTTTTCAACCATCCAAAATATTTGAGTTTATGATTAGTTAAAATTTTAATTATAGTCTCCTGTGGGGATTATGATGGACCAATATTGATGCACCATAAACAATGAAAAGAGGTCATCCATACATTCGGATTCAACAACAACAATTGTCTGTGCGGATAGAGAGCACTTCAAATTTAAAATGGTAGTGTTTGATTTATTTTGTTTTAGTTTAATTTTATAGAGAAAACAGGTACATAATATAAAGCCTCTAATTACGTATCGTCTCGTACTGTATGATCCCGACTAATCAAAATCTCACGCTCAAACAACTATGCCAACTTTATTCAATTCATATAGGTAGATGAAGCCCTATGTACATGGCCACATCTAGAATTTGAACACCTCGTCGTTTTGTTGTCTGGTATCTGCACTAGACATTTCTATCGTCTTTAACTTTGCTTCAGCAAAATGTGAACCCTAGAGGAGGAGATTCGCTACGGTGGTTAAAAAGAGCACCTGCCTTAACGATCAGGTGAGTTCCTCTTAACATTGACAATTACGTACCTTTCATTACCAATGATTTACAGATACAGTAAAACACTAGTTCGTTTTAGATGCTAGGTTCAACCAACCATCAACTGTCTTCATCTCTCAAATCCATCTCAACTTCCACAAATCAACACTCATTTACAGTCAATTACCTCACCAATTCATGTAGGTTGAGTCCAGAAACTGCCATTTCAGCTTCCAAGCACATCAATCTTAACACCCTAGAGAAACCGGATTCAGTTCTCAACTTCTTCAAGAACCATGGATTCACCAAAACCCAGATCTCAGCTATCATCAGAATACACCCAAGAGTTCTCTTATCAGATCCCAACAAAACCCTTTTGCCCAAATTTGAGTTCTTCTACTCCAATGGCATTTCGAGCACTGAGCTCGCGAAGATAGTATCCACTAACCCAAATATATGCTAATATAGCTTGAAGAGCCAAATCATCCCATCTTCAATTTGTTGAAGAATGTATTTCATTCAGATGACAAGTTTGTTGCGGCCTTTAAATGGTGTAAACAATTTTCTAAGATTGTAGGGTGTGATCACCGTGCATTTCCCAACATTGAAACTTTGAGACAACATGGCGTGCCAGAATCGAATATTGTGTACTTACTTACTGCTCAGCCTAGGTCACTCATGACAAAGCCAGATAGATTCAATGAGGGTAGTGGGGGATGTTAGGAAAATGGGTTTGAACCCTTCAAAATTTCTTTTTGTCATGGTGGTTCAAGCATTGACGGCAATGAGCAAATCGACGTGGAAAAGGAAGATGGAGGTTTAAGAAAAGTGGGGCCTGGTCTGAAGAAGAAACAATGTTGGCTTTTATAAGAAGTCTGTGGTGTATGACGATATCAGAGAAGATAATGGCGGTGCTGAATTTTTATGTCAACGCAATGGGTTGGAAGTGTTCCTTAATTATCCGTAGTCCAAAATTATTGCAATTGAGCTTGGGTAAGAGGATAATTCTGAGGTGTTCAGTACTTCAAGTTCTGTTGACGAAAGGTTTGATTAAGCAACCGATTAGTGCAGTGACATTGTTGGAGTCCTCAGAGAGTTTGTTCCTCGAGAAGTTTGTGAATAAGGAAGCTCCTCAGTTGTTGAAACTATATCAAGAAAAATTGGACCTTCCAAAATTACAGGGTCATGGTTATGAAGGTAAGAGTGGAAAATATCAGTTGTAGAATATCTACTTTCTAACTGAAGTGGCTTACACATCCCTGTTCTTTTACTTCTTCTCATTTCCACCCTCTGCTCTCACACTTGACACTACCACCTTTTCGAATTAGATCTTTATGAACTTTTTTTTTTCATTTAAAATTTTTATGATTCCAATTCGATTTTTTTTGGCAAGTATTTATTTTATTTAGTTACAAAATGCTTAGAGATTTTGGGCAGCTCTAATATATCTTTCATTATCATGCACACATTTAACTGAATGATTTGTTATTTTTTGTGCAACTCTGACTCTGTGAGATCTTCTTAATTTTGATTTATTATTTTTTGTGCAACTCTGACTCTGTGAGATCTTCTTAATTTTTAATTCAAAGCGTAGATAAACTCAATAATAGTCATGTTACTATTCTTCATAATAATCTGCGCATAGCTATTCTTCATTTTCATGTAAATGGGCCTCTAGACATGCATGATAATACAGTTTGACTTCAGGGTAGTTTTGAGGCCACCACATGCTAGTAGTCACACTAGAAAAACCATTGTGATTGCATCTTTTAGTATCACTGGATTTCTGGTTTGTACTTGATAAATATTTCTATCCATTGATATCAAGTGTGATGTTTTTGTTATTTGTTGTTTGCGCTTTATGGGGTTGAGACTGTTGAGTAACTATAGATAATGAAATAGTTTGGAAACGTTTCTGAAATTGAAAGCACATGAATTCAAGAATCTTGCCTTGCAAGCCCTTGTTGCCTCATTGGGCGGTACATGTCAAAATAATTGTTTCATAAAGTACATTCTTAGAAATGTTTTAAACTTGGTTTGAAGATCTCTCGACCTATTTTTATTCTAATGCAGTTTTGCATAAGTCTCTAGTGGGTCTTGGGTTCTCTGAATTTTTCCAATGAGTTTTTCTTGCAGTAGCTAGTCGTGGAGGCACGGTGTTGCACTGTTGCAAGTTCATGGAGCACACGGCTAGCCGTGAGATCTCCCTTCCTGCCCTTGGAGGGAATGTGTATTTTTCCTCTTTTTTTGTTACCAACCCTTAAAAAGGCAAATCAAAACCAAAAACCATGTTTAATGATATGTTTTTTTTTTCTTCTATTATTCTATAATAAAAAATGTTTTCATGTTTTTGAAGAAAAGCGAAAACATAAAAAAGGTGTTTCCTCCGTTTTCTCACTGTAGTAGCCAAAATATTTTAGCAGGATGCTTTTGGGGGCTCCGTTCACATTTATAACGTTACTGAACACATAATTGATTTGTTAATAATTTGTTTAATAAAATTCTATTTACAGGTCTGTTGTTAATATCTATGCATATATAATTCGTTTTATATTCTCTCTATGTGCATCTCTTCTCCATAAATATTGCCCTGTTTTTTTCTTTCATTTTCTTTGATTTCCAGAACTGTTGTTGGTTTATTTGCATTTTATATTGACAAATATTAGAATTAGGTCAATCCCTTCCCTCCTTTTAAGCTATATACTGAGGGTTATATTATTCATCTAATTTTGTGGTTAAGTTTGGTTGTCTTCTTCCTCCTCCTCCTGTATCTTTAGGTCAGTAGGTGTGTGTTCCTCTTTGTTTTTTAATTTTTTTAATAATGCTCTAAACGAATAACACTAACGAATGACACTGACATGTTGACTTATGATTATGATTGATATTGTATAAGTCAATAATTATATATTTAAGTTTAAGTGTTTTTTTTTTTTTTTAAATAATCATGTTCCTGTTCCTGGCAACCAAAACACCACTACTGTTCCTGGTAACCAAAACATCACTATAGAACAAGATTACGCAAGTCTTCCTTGCCTACTGCAAGGATATCAACATACAAATATTCAACAAACATGGCATACATGAAGTCAATCCTGAGGATTTAATATTAGCCTGGCCAACCCCGGCCAAGGCGGTTGCCAAACTCAATTCATTGCAAGATGTGAAAATCCGCTAGCACGCTAAGCACGTTGGACGTAAGCTTCAAGAGTATTCCAATGCCCATTACATAAATTCAACTTTACTGGATGGACCCCAACTATATCCACACACACAAGGGTTGAATAAGGGATATACATAACCCACTAAAGACGTGGGTTCAATAGAGTCAACCCAATTAGTCAACGGGTTAATATTTGCACCTTGGCCCAAGCCCACTAATGGAATGGAAATAAAAATCAAGAATATACCAATAGGGTGAACCATAAGGCCCAAGGTGCAGGGGCTAGCAAATCCATACTCTACCTTCCAGTAGTATGTGGTCTATATGATACCCTAGTCATGCAACATAAGCAACACCAGTGATGACGTCATGTCGACCTGCTTGTATAGTATACCGAAGCATTTGTGTTCACGGTGAACCGGATCAGGCGAGCTTGATGAACAAGATAGCAAATCATCTGATCATTGTGCTCGGTCCACTTATCCGTGATACAAGGAGACAAAGAGAGGGTAGATGTTCGTATTGATAGCAAAAGAAGAAAACAAACAGAGAACACAAACAGCACAACAACATACATAGAACATTAGATTCAAAAAGAATTAATAAAAACGGTAAAAATACCTGGATTAAACGAAAATAGCATCAAACATAGGACATCAGGTGTGCCATCGTTCCAGATTGCCCATGAGACGAGCAGAATCACACAAGAACCCATCCATCCAGACAAATAATATAAGCTTCTTCTGGGACTCTGGATGACAGCTATCGCATAAAACACACTCTTGAAAAGAATTTCAAACTCTGATGAATAAAGAATCTCGACCCCCCACCCCGGCGCGAAATCTGATTGCAAAATCTTGGGGAGTGAATTGCACCAATTCCTGGTCAAATCATTTTTGTAACTCTTTTAAGTCATTAGTAGCACTGCTTGCTCGAAGCTCATTGAAGCCAATGTCCAAAAATATGGAGTCACGAGAGTGGGGCAGGATTTCATTATGAATTTATTATTATTTTAAGTTTTATTCATTATGAACGAAAATTATTTATATATATAATTGCAGCAAGTCAAAGATAAGCAGTATTTTGAGGCAATAAAGTGGGGATTTATTGACACTTCAACAAAAAAATTGACACTATCACAATATTTTGAGGCAATAAAGTGGGGATTTATTGACACTTCAACAAAAAAATTTTGTTTGTTTTTTTTTTTTTTTGTTGATGCATTAAAGTGAGACGTAATTATGAAACTGTGCATATTAGACTTGGTTGAAAGACAAATCCAGTGCATTATTGGTCGAGAATAAGGGGTTTGCAAATTAAAATTATTTATATATTTGTTTTAGCATTTATTAAAAAAAAAAAAAAAAAAACACTCATCTAGGTTAGGGGTCGAATTCCAGAGACGGCGTCTTGTAATGGGATATAAGTGTATCAAACAGCTCCAGAATAGGAATGTGTTTTAGGGTTCATCAGAAAAGAGGGTTTATAGGGAAGGAGATCCGAAATAGCGACAAGATTTCCTCAAAAGAACAAGACCAGAACAGGTGAGTCTCTTCCATGTTTAATTTCATATTCAAATCTTTGCCTTATTTTAGGTGCGTTGTTGTATCAACTTCACCTACCCACAAACTCCATTTTCTTCAACACTACCCGTTCTCTTCTTCATCATCAGCACTCAAATCCGTATCTAGCACTGCAAATCAACACTCATTCACTGTCGACTACCTCATAAAATCATGTGGGTTTCCTCCAGAAAAGGCTCTGTCGGCCTCCAAACGCATGAAGTTCGAAACCCCAGACAAACCAGACTCTGTTATGGCATTCTTCAGAAACCATGGATTCACCGAAACCCAGATCGCAGTTCTCATCAGAAAACTCCCTCGGTTACTCTTGTCTGATCCCGAGAAAACCCTTTTGCCAAAAATCGAGTTCTTTCACTCTAAAGGTGTTTCAACCGAAGACATTGTCAAAATACTGTCTGCAACACCAGCTATTTTGAGAAGAAGTTTGGAAAACCATGTCATCCCATCGTACAATTTCTTGAAGGAATTGCTTAAGTCTGAAGAAAAAACGAATGCCGCCATTAAACAACAAAGTAGGCTTTTGTTGTATGATCTTCACATATCTGTAGCACCCAATATTGAAGCTCTGAGGGAAATAGGTATGCCCGAATCGATTATTGTGAGTTTCTTCACAAATCAATCTAGTGCTTTCAGGGGTAATGCGGATAGGTTTAAGGAGATGGTGGAGGAAGTAAAGAAAATGGGTTTTAACCCTACAACAATGATGTTTGGTGAAGCAATTCATGCACTGAGGGCAATAACTAAATCAAATTGGGAAAGGAAGGTGGAGGTTTATAAGAAGTGGGGTTTTTCTGAGGATGATATTCTGGTGGCTTTTAGGAAGCGACCACGTTTTATGGTTGTATCAGATGATAAGATTACGCGGATAATGGGTTTTTTTGTCAATAAATTGGGTTGGGAGTCTTCAATCATTGCAAGGAGGCCAGTGCTTCTTTGCCTGAGCTTGGAGAGGAGGATCATTCCAAGGTGTTCGGTTTATCAAATTCTGTTGTCGAAAGGTTTGATTAAGAAGGGTTTTGGCTTGATTAAGATGATGGACTCTCCTGAAAGTTACTTCCTAGAGAAGTTTGTGAAAAAATATGAGGAAGAAGCTCCTGAGCTTTTGAAGTTATATCAGGACAAGTTGAATCTTTCAAAGTAAGTAGGGTATGGGAAAATGAGGAACACATTGGCCTTTTTTATGTCGTACATCTCTGATTCCAACTATACTTTGGTTTCTCCTTGTTTACTCTTGGGTAGTAAATATGATTTTGTTTGAAATACAACATGGCAATCAATTTTCATTAATCTCTGAGCAAATTTTTTCTCTGTGTTTTAGTTCTGGCAATTGAAACTTGAAGCTCAACAACATGGTGCATTGAATTCTCCAGTACTTTTGTAGTGGTTAAGGCTTGGTGTGATATGCCATTGTCTGTTGTCGTCTGGGAGAGCAGTCTAGGTGATCTTGGTTTTGTTTGACATACAATTTCAGAACTAGTTCAATTTGGGAAATTAATGATTTTGAATTTCAATTGTAATGATGTAACCATGTAACTCAGTTTTGTATTTTTTTAACCATGAGATTATATATATATAGTTCTTTTGTGCAAGTGTGAAACAATGTTGGCTTTTATAAGAAGTCCGTGGTGTGTGGTGTATGACGATATCTGAGGAGAAGATAATGGCGGTGCAGAATTTTTATGTCAACACAATGGGTTGGGAGTCTTCCTTAATTATCCGTCGTCCAAAATTATGGCAATTGAGCTTTGGTAAGAGGATAATTCCGAGGTATTCAGTACTTCAAGTTTTGTTGACCAAAGGTTTGATTAAGCAACCAATTAGTGCAGTGACATTGTTGGAGTACGTCATCAGAGAGTTTGTTCCTTAAAAAGTTTGTGACCTGTTATGAGGAAGCTCCTCAGTTGTTGAAACTATACCAAGAAAAATTGGACCTTCCAAAATTACAGGGTCATGGTTATGAAGGTAAGAGTGGAAAATATCAATTGTAGAAAATCTACCGTCTAACTGAAGTGGCTTACACATCACTGTTCTTTTACTTCCTCTCATTTCCACCTTCTGCTCTCACACTACCACCTTTTCGAATTAGATCTTTATGAACTTTCGTTTTTTTTTTCTTCTTTTTTTTTAAAATTTTTATGAGTCTAATTCGATGTTTTTTGGCAAATACTTAGAGATTTTGTGCAGCTCTAATATATCTTTCATTATCATGCGCGCATTTAACCAAATGATTTATTATTTTTTGTGCAACTCTGACTCCCTGAGAACTTCTTAATCTTTAATTCGAAGCATAGATAAACTCAATAATAGTCATGTTACTAGAAGATTGTTAATTTAATTAAGTTCTGCATGAATATAACATTTTTTCCCAATTTCCTTAGCAGCTTCTGTGGGTTTTCATAATAATCTGCACATAGCTATTCTTCATTTTCATGTTAATTGGCCTCTAGACATGCATGATAATACAGTTTGATTTCAGGGTAGTTTTAGATGTTGCCATTTAACCATTATGATTGCACCTTTTAGTATAACTAGATTTCTGGTTTGTACTTGATGTATATTTCTATTCATTGATGTCAAGTGTGGTGCTTTTGTTATTTGTTGTACGGGTTCCTTTGATTGCACTTTATGGGGTTGACACTGTTGAGAAACTATAGATAATGAAATAGTTTGGAAACGTTTCTGAAATTGAAAGCACATGAATTCAAGAATCTTGCCTTACAAGCCCTTGTTGCTTCATAGGGTTGTACATGTCAAAATAATTGTTTCATAAAGTAACATTCTTAGAAATGTTTTAAACTTGGTTTGAAGATCCCTCGGCCTATTCTTATTCTAATGCAGTTTTGCATTAAGTCTCTAGCGGGCCTTGGTTCTCTGAGGAAATTGGCTTATACTTTAATAGGCTGGACTTTATGGATACGATGGTGGCTGAGTAGCTAAATGGCAAATTATTTGTCCCTCACTTTTTTTGGTTAACAGCTTAGGGAGGATTGATTAGCAGAGTCCTTTGTGCTTTGTGATGTTCTGAATCAGAGTCGTTCAACCTTGTGTCAGCCATCAAAATTTTTGGCGTAGGGTCCATCTTTTAGAGATTAGTACTTTGCCTTTTTGAGAGATATATTTATGCTTTCCTATTTTTGGTTCATCAAAGTTATTTCTCCCAAAATGTTAGGAAACAAATCCTTTTGAAGCCAAGGATACATTGGCTTTAAAATTAAAATTTGCTGTGGTGGTTGTACTCTGGTCTCTCACCATTATCTCTCAGGTCATTCTCATAGGGATTACATTACAGTCTGGTGTGAATGTCAAACTTCTTGCTTTCTATCTTATGTCATAACAATTTGTGGAATTTTTCCAATGAGTTTTTCTTGCAGTGGCTAGTCGTGGAGGCGCGGTGTTGCACTGTTGCAAGTTCATGGAGCACACGGCTAGTCGTGAGATCCCTTCCTGCCCTTGGAGGGAAGGTGTATTTTTCATGTTTTTTTGTTATCATCCCATAAAAAGGGCAAATCAAAACCAAAAACCATGTTTGATAATATGTTTTTTTTTTTTTTCCTCCTATAATAAAAAATGTTTTCATGTTTTTGAAGAAAAGAGGAAACATAAAAAAGGTGTTTCCTCTGTTTTCTCAATATAGCAGCCAAAATTTTTTAGCAGGATTCTTTTGGGGGCTCCGTAACAGTGTAACACAGACACTCTCTCTTCACGTTATCTCACTGTTCACTCATCTCTCCATGCAAATCTCGCTTCGAGGACTTGATTTGTTAATAATTTGTTTAATAAATTCTATTTCCAGGTCTGTTGTTAATATCTATGCATATATAATTTGTTTTATATTCTCTCTATGTGCATCTCTACTACATAAATCTTGCTCTGTTTTTTTCTTTCCCTTTCTTTGATTTCTAGAACCGTTGTTGGTTTATTTGCATTTTATATTGACAAATATTAGAATTAGATCAATCCCTTCCCTCCTTTTAAGCTATATACTCTGGGTTATATTATTCATCTAATTTTGTGGTTAAGTTTGGTTGTCTTCTTCCTCCTCCTGTATGTTTAGGTCATTAGGTGTGTGTTCCTCTGTGTTTTTTAAATTTTTTTAATAATGCTCTAAACGAATAACACTGACATGTTGACTTGTGATTATGATTGATATTGTATAAGTCAATAATTATATATTTAAGTTCATGAAAAGGCAGTGAATCTGTACAATTCATGGTCAAGTCAAATAATTTTTGTAATTACAGTCCCTCTTTTACGTCATTAGTAGCACTGCTTGCTCGAAGCTCACTGAAGCCAATGTATTTATTATTATTTTAAATTTTTTTCATTAAGAACGAAAATTAAAAAATATATATATATAATTATATATATAATTGCAGAAAGTCAAGGCTAAGCGGTATCTGCGAAAAGGATGTAAAAATGTAAGGTGACACATTGCCAATGGTGCTGTTGCTTATCTTCAACTAGTAGTACGCAGAGGTGCAGAGGCTAGTCAATGCTTGGTTATTTTTATGTTCATGAATTACCCACTAGTGGGCGGTGATCAATAAAAGCTCCAAGTGATGTGCAAATCACTCCTCTTATAATATTTAACTTTCTAAAATTACTTTTAATAATCACGGATCCATGCATGAAGATTCTGATTAAATAGTCAACTCTCATTATGCTTCATTATGTTTTTATATAAATGAGATGAACTTAATATATTCACATGAAATTTATTAACTTAATATTTCAAATAAATTGTACAATATATTATAATTTCTCTTAAAATTCCAATCTTACATTTATTTGAAATTTCATTTTAATATTCGTTCAATTAAAACCTAGTGACCGAAAAGTTTCATATTTTCTATTGTATCACTATTTCAAACAAATTGACACTGTCACAATATTTTGATGCAATAAAGTGGAGATTTATTGACACTTTAACAAAAAAAAAAAAAAATTTATTTATTTGTTGATGCATTAAAGTGAGACCTAATTGTAAAACTGTACATATTAAACTTGGTTGAAAGACAAATCCAGTGCATTAATAAGGTTTGAGATAACAACGCTATTTTCTAAATTAAGATTGGTCGAGAATAAAAGGTTTGCAAATTAAAATCCTGGGTTAAGTACAAAAACTCCACCTCATAATATACAAAATGTGCCAAAAAAAGCCCTGCATTTTACAATTTGTGCAAATAAGGACATTAGGTCAATTTAGCCATTGAAATATCTAAAGTACTCATATAATAAAATAAAAAATATATATATAATATAATAAAATAAAAAATATATATATAATATAATAATAAAAAATCAAATTATCCCCTCTCTCTTCTAATTTATTTTTTCTTTTTTTGGAAGGTCTCTCTCCCCTTTGTTTCTCTCTCTTTTTTCTTTTTTTTAGTTAACCCGGAGTGTCTGGGATGGCACGAACCCTTAGGGCTCCTCAACAATTCGACTAATCCCCGAGGACCCAGAAGGGCACCTTTTCACTCGGATCGGGTAAGTCACTGTAGGGGCAGCAGAGGCTAGCCACGAAGAACACCCAGCGGGATTCGAATCCTAGACCTTGAACTTACTAAGCTCCAAAGTCCAGCGAGTAAACCGCTGGCATATCCGAAGTGGATCTCTATTTCTCTCTTTGTTTTCACTTTCTAGTGGGATTCTTTTTTCAGTGGCTTCTATATTTGTATCTTTCTATCTTTTCCTTTTCAACAACTTCCATATATTTATTGATCTTGTTATATATATATATAATGCAAAATCTTTAAAAGAGATGCAATCAACCCATAATAACTCTGGTTTTAGAAACAAAATCTGTCTCTCTCTCCCTCTAACATATGATATACATAACAATGTTCATATAATTTATTTTTTATTTTTGGAATGTAAATGTTGTTATGAGCCTATGAAGGATCAAAATGATATTATGGCTCAATCAAGATAACATCCAATCACAGACACTGATGAACAACCAGGAGGAACAATTGAACTTGTGTATCTCAAGCTCCATGATCATAGACTAAAACTGAAACAAATTGAGATAATGCCAAAATTAACACAACAAGTATGTATATAGATTTTGGACATATTGAAAATATTAATCTTTAGGGAATACCAATAATCTTTATGTTTCAAGTTTCACAAAATAAACACGTTCATTGTTCGTCTTCTCCATGTCTTCACCAATTAAATATTTTGTGGTGTTAATTTTATGCTATATATATATATATATATATATATATAATCTTGAAATTATATATATAATTTCAGAGCCATGTTTGGTGAGTGAGCAAGTTTAGGTCTTCTATTTTCTATTTCTAGACCTGGATCCCGTTTAGACTAGGTGTGCCGCTTAGGGTTGGTCAGACGGACGGACAATTAGGATTCTTTAAATGAGTTTATTCAACAGAAACATGTCTTCGAGATCATCAGCTCCTCTAGTAGGCAGAATGATAGTAAACCAAGAAGGACAACATATTGATAGTGGTCAAAGTGATCAGCGGGATACTTGGAATATACCTAAGGTTCCAATTAGAGATATTTACAAATCCTCTACCTTCAAATACTCCATCAAAACTGTTGAACAAATTATTTCTCTCAAAAATCCTTTTGAAGTCATCCAGTTATTACAAAAAAGAGCAATAGTCGAACACCAAAAGAAATATAAGTTCTTACACATAGAACTTGTCCAGATCGCAGTCAAACCTCTCACTTCCAAAGGACTCAACATTGCTATTATGCTCAGTCTTAGAGACTGTAGACATAATAATTTTGAAACTTCCTTATTAGGAGTTTGTCAAACTAGTCTTTTTGATGGTCCCCATTACTTCAATTGTTTTCCAAATTACTCAGTTGCTCTTGATGATTCAACAATCCTTCACACTCTAACCCTGAATGTGTCAAGAAGTGGTTATGATATGATGGAAGGAGCTAGACCTTTCAATGTTGTTTTTAGAGCTCATTACAAAGTTATGACTACTCAAGTTACTCCCCAAGCCCTTCGAGAGTCTCCCAAAGGAGAAATGCTCTTTACTTAATGCCAGTGATGAAAATTCTTAGACTTACATCCAAAAAACCAAAACATGGAGTGAAGTCACCTTCCCCGAAGAATGGACTCTCGAGCATGCAATTCCTTCCTCAAAGATTGAAAATAAAAGGTTGGAACAAATCTCTCAATTGTCTGATGGAACTGTCAAAGTTAGATGTAATTCTAACAGAATTTCTATCATAGATCTGGAGCCACCTAGATCATCTTATTATCAAGCCTCTTTTTCTCAAACAAATCATTCAAAAGTCCCTTCTAGGAAATCATTTTTAGGACCCCCTACAAGAAATCCAAACTCATTGGAGTCAAAAACAAAGAAATTGCTAAACCGGTTTACCAGGACGATGAAAGCGAACAGACTGAAGACGAAGACATCCCTCCTCTTCAACGCCCTTCTTTACCTAGCAAAACCCCTCCCCAAAACCAAAATTCTCAAGACTCCCTTCCATCCCCAAATCATTCTCAGTTTGAAGATCAGGATAACTCGATTCATCAACTCTACGTGATAAAAATAGTGTATGAGATTAATAAAGCTTTTCTACACAAAGATTTCTATTCAAACATCAATGATTCCAGAAGACAATGGTATTTCAGAACCTTTTATACTCAAAAAACCATTGAGATTAGAGAAGAGTGGTATGTTTTTTTGTATACACTACAAGTTTTCAGCCCCTTTCTTTATGTGGTTTGAAAAATACTGTACTGACAATGAAATTGATTTTCCTTTCTTGACAATCAAATCCTTAAACGTCACCTCCAAAACCCTTACCACATGGCAAACATCCCGTAGTGAAGCTATTGAAACCATCCACCCCCCAGCTGAAGCAGTCGAATTCAAAATAGGAATAGCCACCCTTACTGCTTCTCCTTTCATGATGAAAGCAGCAGCCGACAATACACCATCCACAACTCGAGGTGTACGAAGCATCATGGAACAAAATAACTACACAAACCAACACCTCCAAACCCTTGGCGCTCAACTTTCTCGGGTTGAACTTGATTCGAAAAGAACAAATTATTTCAATCCAGTTAGACAATGCTCCACCTTTTATTCCCCATGAAATTCCCCTGCATTTGTCCAAACAATTATCCAAGCGCAGTGCTATTGAAGAAGCACATGATAGAATCAAGTGAATTGAATCCCTTTTGGTTTCTACGGCTACGATTCCTGATACACCATACCGATCTATGGCCACCAAAAACATCTTTATATAATCTTGAAATTATATATGTATATAGCAATTTGTTTTAGAAATTACCTAAATACATAATTTTTTTTATTTTTTATCAAAGTAGTAATTTTTACATGGTTTTATTTATTTATTAAAGTAATAATTTTTAGACAAGAGTTAATTGATTGAAGTTGAAATAGACGTGATAAAAATGCAGGGTGATCTTCTATGTTGTAGAGACTAGAGAGAGAAGAGAGCTGAGAGATCATTTAAAGAAAGAAAGAGAAAGAGAGATTTTTTTTTTTTTTTTTTCCTTGCATCAGCAAGGGCATTTTAGAGTTTTTAGAAAAAAATTGGTCAAAATTGATAATCAAGAAATAATTTGATCAAAAAATTGATAATACAGAAATTTATATGTACTTAATTTTCAGTGGGTGTATTCCTTGCATATTTTTTATATAGCAAAGGGAAGGGGTTTTATGTGTTTAACCCGAAAATTATTTATATATTTGTGAATCTCGTTAGCATTTATGAAAAAAAAAAAAAAAAAAAAAAGGCGGCGTAGTGTAATTGGATATAAGTATATCGAACAGCTCGAGAATACGAGTGTGTTTTAGGGTTCATCAGAAAAGAGGGTTTTTAGGGAAGGAGATCCGAAATAGCGACAAGATTTCCTCAAAAGAACAAGACCAGAACAGGTGAGTCTCTTCCATGTTTAATTTCATATTCAAATCTTTGCCTTATTTTAGGTGTGTTGTTGTATCAACTTCACCAACCCAGAAACTGCATTTTCTTCAACACTACCCATTCTCTTCTTCATCATCAGCACTCAAATCCGTATCTAGCACTCCAAATCAACACTCATTCACTGTCGAGTACCTCATAAAATCATGTGGGTTTCCTCCAGAAAAGGCTCTCTCGGCCTCCAAACGCATGAAGATCGAAAGCCCAGACAAACCAGACTCTGTTATGGCATTCTTCAGAAACCATGGATTCACCGAAACCCAGATCTCAGTTATTATCAGAAAACTCCCTCGGTTACTCTTGTCTGATCCAGAGAAAACCCTTTTGCCAAAAATCGAATTCTTTCAGTCTAAAGGTGTTTTAACCGAAGACATTGCCAAAATACTGTCTGCAACACCTTCTATTTTGAGAAGAAGTTTGGAAAACCATGTCATCCCATCGTACAATTTCTTGAAGGAACTGCTCAAGTCCGAAGCAAAAACGAATGCTGCCATTAAACAACAAACTAGGCTTTTGTTGTTTGATCTTCACATATCAGTAGCACCCAATATTGAAGCTCTAAGGGAAGTAGGTATGCCCGAATCGATTATTGTGAGTTTCTTCACAAATCAATCTAGTGCTTTCACGGCTAATGCCGATAGGTTTAAGGAGATGGTGGAGGAAGCAAAGAAATTGGGTTTTAACCCTACAACAATTATGTTTGGTGCAGCAATTCATGCACTGAGGGCAATAACTAAATCAAATTGGGAAAAGAAGGTGGAGGTTTATAAGAAGTGGGGTTTTTCTGAGGATGATATTCTGGTGGCTTTTGGGAAGCAACCACGTTTTATGGTTGTATCAGATGATAAAATTATGGGGATAATGGATTTTTTTGTCAATAAAATGGGTTGGGATTCTTCTGTTATTGTGAGGAGGCCAGTGCTTGTTTGCCTGAGCTTGGAGAGGAGGATCATTCCAAGGTGTTTGGTTTATCAAGTTCTGTTGTCGAAAGGTTTGATTAAGAAGGATTTTGGCTTGTTTAAGATGATGGAGTCTCCTGAAAGTTACTTCCTACAGAATTATGTAAAAAAATATGAGGAAGAAGCTCCCGAGCTTTTGAAGATATATCAGGAGAAGTTGAATCTTTCAAAGTAACTAGGGTATGGGAAAATGAGGAACACAGTGGCCTTTTTAATGTCGTACATCTCTGATTCAAACTATACTTTGGTTTCTCCTTGTTTACTCTTGGGTAGTGAATATGACTTTGTTTGAAATACAACATGGCAATCAATTTTCATTAATCTCTGAGCAAATTTGTGTTCTCTGTTCCGGCAATTGAAACCTGAAGCTCAACAACATGGTGCATTGAATTCTCCAGTACTTTTGTAGTGGTTAAGGCTTGGTGTGATATGCCATTGTCTGTTGTCGTCTGGGAGAGCAGTCTAGGTGATCTTGGTTTTGTTTGACATACAATGTCAGAACTATTTCAATTTGGTAAATTAATGATTTTGAATTTCAATTGTAATGATGCAAACATGTAACTCTGTTGTATTTTTGTAACTATGAGATTATATATATATAGTTGTTCTTTTGTTCAAGTGTGACATTGTTGGTACAGTTCATGATTTCTTCAAGTTTGGATAGGATAATTTCAGTTCTACACTCTTTCTGTTACTTGTCAATTTTGCATTTTGGTTCAGCACAAATGCATTGTTCATCCTTACCTGCTCTCATTTCCACACTCTTCTCTCACATAGCTATTCTTCATGTTCATGTTGATGGGCCTTTAGACATGTATGATAACACAGTTTGACTTCAGGGTAGTTTTAGATGTTGCCATTTAACCCGTGAGGCCACCAGAAGCTAATAGTCACGCCACAGAAACCATTATGATTGCACCTTTTAGTATCTCACTAAATTTCTGGTTTGTACTTCTTGTATGTTTCTATTCATTGATATCAAAGACTGATGTTTTTGTTATTTCTTTTACGGTCCGTTAGATTGCACTTTATGGGGTTGAGTAGCTATAGATAATGAAATTGTTTGGAAACGATTCTGAAATATAAAGCACATGGATTCAACAATCTGGCCTTACAACCCTTTGTTGATTCATCCGGTGGTTTATGTCAAAATAGTTGTTTCATAAGGTACATTCTTAGAAATGCTTTAAACTTGGTTTGAAGATCCCTCCGGTTGTTCTTATTCTAATGCAGTTTTGCGTTACTCTCTAGTGGGTCTTGGGTTCTCTGATGAGATTGGCTTATACTTAATAGGCTGGATTTTATGGATAAGATGCTGGCTGAGTAGCTAAATGGCAGATTATTATTCCCTCAATTTTGTTTTGGTTAAGTGATTAGAGAGGATTGATTAGCAAAATTCTTTGTGCTTCATGATTTTCTGAAACACGTTTGGATTAAAATTTCTCAAGCTAACGATTGGGTAGTGATCAATAGGGGTGAGAATATTTGACACGACATGCCAACATGACAGAAACACGTTATGAAATAAGTGGGTTTGAGTTTGACTTCATCGTGTTCGTGTCGACCCGAATTAACATAGTAATTAAATGTGTCGTTTTTGTGTTTGACTTTTCAATCCATTTATAACTTGATTAACTAAACGTGTCACATAAATGTGTCGTATTCGTGTTAAAAATGATCTGTTTAACTAAATGTGTTGAATAAACGTGTCGTGTTCAGGTCAAAAATGACTTAAACGTATTTTGTTGTGTTGTTTCATGTCGTATTAAGTCTTGACCCATTCATTAAACGGGTTATACGTGTCTTGTTACGTGTATAGTAATCGTGTCAGAGTCAGAGTTTCATAGTATGAATAATAATTGTTTTGTGTTTGTGTCAACTCATTTAACAGAATATTCATATTCTTTTGAGGTGGTGGTTTACAGGCTAGTGGAGTTGTTTTTTTTTTTAGTTTTTTTTTTGAAATTTTAAGCAAATATTATAAAAGTAAAGGTAATTACAATGCGGGCCTTTGGCCAACCAGCCCCAAGGGGATTACAAAAGTAAAGGTAAACTCACACCACTAAAAGATGCAGTTTAGGGATATCTCTTGTTTCTCTCAACGTGGATTTCTCGGCAACTAAACAAATAAATAAAGTTTGACTGGTTTCAGATTATGTGTTAGTGTGATCCAATTTAGTTTACTGCAACCTAATACAACCAAAAACAACCTAATATATTATTCAATGACTACTAGTGGCTCTCCACTTTGAGACGACAATATGCATGCTTTTGATGACTTCATTCGTGTGAATTAAAATAAAAATTATAAAATTTTAAAAAAGTTGGTTTACTAAAATGATGAGATGCCAAATTATAACAAATTGGTGACTGAACATCAAGAAAAATGTCGTCATCATCCGTCTTAGTCTATTACTAAACTTTTTTTTCTTTTTCAAGTCACACTTCTTATAATATTAACTTTTTAAAATTATTTTTAATAATCACATATCCATACATGAATATTTTGACCAATATTCAATTCTCATTGTGAAATTGACTAACTTAATATTTTAAATAAAATTGTGCATGCATTATTAATTTATCTTACATCCATCTTAGATTTCATTTTCATATTAGTACAATTAAAACTTAGTGACATATTTTCTGTTAATTTAAGTTATTTAGGTAGTCAAATGATATTTCCTCAATTTTTCAAAAGAAAATGGTGAATTTTTTTTTTTGTTTTAAAAACTTTAGTGTCCGAAACTTTGTTCGGACTAATTCATTAAACTCGTGCTAAATGACCCTATATGAATTCAATAAGACTCAAACTATGTTCGCAATTGTGATTCCGTCCATAACTTTAGTTTTAAAGGTAGCAACGTTCTTTTATAAATTAAAAGTTTGCAAATAAAAATTGTTTATATATTTGTAAATATAATTGTTCTAAGTTAGGGGTCGAATATATGCTCTATGGAGACGGCGTATACGCTCGAGAATAAGAGAGTATTTTAGGGTTTATTAGAAAGAGGGTTTTAGGGAAGGAGATCCAAATTTGTGACGAGATTTCCTTAGAAGAACAAGAAGACCAGAACAGGTGAGTCCCTTCCATCACTGTCAATGTTTAATTTCATATTCAAATCTTTGCCTTATTTTAGGTGTATTGTATCAACCTCACCAATCCGGACACTGCATTCTCTTCAACTCTACCTATTCTCTTCATCATCATCAGCTCTCAAATCCATATCTAGCACTTCAAATCAACACTCATTCTCTGTCGATTACCTTATTAAATCATGTGGGTTTCCTCCAGAAAACACTCTCTCGGCCTCCAAGTACGTGAACTTCAAAACCCCAGACCAACCAGACTCCGTTCTCGCATTCTTCAGTAGCCATGGATTCATCGAAACCCAGATCTCACTTCTCATCAAAAGCTACCCTCGGGTACTCATGTCTGATCCCAAGAATACCCTTTTCCCCAAAATCGTATTTTTCCACTCTAAAGGTATTCCAACCGAAGACATTGCCAAATTAGTGTCTACAACACCAGGTGTTTTGAGGACAAGTTTGGAAAACAAAATCATCCTATCGTACAATTTCTTCAAGGAATTCCTCAAGTCCAAAGAGAAAACCAATGTCGTTGTTAAACGCTTTGCTAGGATTTTGTTGTTTGATCTTCACATATATGTAGTACCCAATTTTGAAGCTCTGAGAGAAATAGGTGTGCCCGAATCGAATATTGTGGCTCTCTTACAAGACACCCTCAAGCTTTCACGGCTAACGCTGATAGGTTTAAGGAGATTGTGGAGGAAGTAAAGAAAATGGGTTTTAACCCTATAAAAATGATGTTTGGTGTAGCAATTCATGCACTAAGGGCAATTAGTAAATCAACTTGGGAAAAGAAGTTGGAGGTTTATAAGAAGTGGGGTTTGTCTGAGGATCACATTTTGGTGGCTTTCAGGAAGTATCCAATGTTTATGTTGGCATCAGAGGATAAGATTACGGGAATAATAGATTTTTTTGTCAATAAAATGGGTTGGGAGTCTTCGATTGTTGCGAGGAGGCCAGTGCTTGTTGGCATGAGCTTGGAGAGGAGGATCATTCCAAGGTGTTTGGTTTATCAAATTCTGTTGTCGAAAGGTTTGATTAAGAAGGATTTTGGCCTGATGATTCGGATGTTGGAAACTCCTAAGAGTCACTTCCTAAAGTAAGTATGTGAAAAAATATGAGGAAGAGGATCCTGAGCTTTTGAAGTTATATCAGGAAAAGTTGAATCTTTCAAAGTAACTAGTGCATGGGAAAATGGGGAACAGAGTGGACTTTTGGGTAGTGAATATGCTTTTGTTTGAAATACAACATGGCAATCAATTCACGTTCATTAAAATCTTTGAGCAAATTTGAGTTCTCTGTTTTAGTTGGGGCAATGGGGAATTGAATTCTCCATTACTTTTGTAGTGGTTAAGGCTTGGTGTGATATGCCATTGTCTGTTACGTGGGAGGGCAGTGTAGGTGATCTTGGTTTTGTTTGACATACAATTTCAGATCTAGTTCAATTTGGTAAATTAGTGGTTTGGATTTTCAATTGTAATGATGCAAAGTTGTATTTCTTTTTATCCAGCAACTGTTATTTTCCCATTTCATTTACAGCATAAATAAATGAGATCATATAACATTGTTCTCTTTATGCAAGTGTGACATTGTTGGTTCAATTCATGATTCAGTCCATCTACCATCTTCCTCCCAGTCTGTATTGAGAACATTCTTTAAGTTTGGTTATGATTTTTAGTGTGTACAGGATGAATTCAGGTTTACACTCTTCTTTTGCTTGTTGGCGTTGATAGCACAGATGCTATATAGGATGCTCACCTTGGTGCATTGCCGTTACACCTCAACAACAAATATATTTTTTACCTATTATTGACCATGATTAGTCTGTAAAACAAGTTTCTATTCTTTCTGGTGAGTATGAAGCCGGAATGGAGAAGAAAGCGAAGAAAGTGTTAATAGATCAGCACAGAGAATCATCAACTATTATCCAATGTGTTCCCTTCTTAGTGAAAAATTATTGAATACCCCGGGGGTATGGTACCCCGGGGCATCCCAACCCTTGGATGTGGTGGGGGGCCCCACCACATCCATAATCCAATGGCCCTCACTGCCCCGGGGTACCATACCCCTGCGGTATTCAATAATTTCTCTTTCTTATTGCCCATTTACATAATGCTCTGCTTTTAAGTTCATTTGTAACCAAGAACAAGAACCAGAAGAGCTGGTTGCACAAAACCAGAAATACTTGCCCGCACAGCTCAAGAATCTATTCGGGCCACTGGTGTAAATTGAGTGGATATGTATGGCAGCAAAAATGTTAGTTTGATAATATTGGTTAATTGCAAAGTTAGGGAATAATTCATGTATGTGATATTCATTATTAGGACACGTGGTGGAGACCAAGTGGAAATTCCTTCGGCCTTTTTGGACAAATCTTTTTACCCCTTGGCCAAAAAAGATGATGTCTAAGCACGAGGCGTCGATTTGGATCCCTAATTCTTGGTGGAGAGAAAAATTGGGCCACACATACATTCTTCAGCCCAACGGTCGATTTAGGTTTTTCTTGTTGGCTGATTCTCGCCTTTTCGTCTTCGACCGTTGTAGTCTTCCGGTCCTTCTTACATTCAGGACAATACTCTTGATTAATCAAAGTGATTTGTACTTCCAAAATCTGAATTTCAACTTCTTTTTGGGCTTTGTCATGATTGCCAACAAAGATTTTTGTTTTCCATATGTCCTTCTATTAGAGAATTTGACACGAGATAATGATGGAAGACTTCCAAACCGTCGCCGGTTCAAGATAACAGCCCTGCGAGAGCAACAAACCCAACCCTTGGTCGAATTTACAGTAGAAACTGCTTAAATTATAGTTGTCTTTCAATTTGCAGCCATGACTGCATGAGTGGAAAATCCACAATGAAGCTTCGAGAATAACTGATCCATGTACTTGGGCTAGAAGTATTGTGACGAAAAGTTGCAGAAGGTTTTTTTTTGGGCAGAACTACACTTTGGTGGCGAACTTCTCGATGGCGAGTAATTTTTTTTTTTTTTTTTCAACGACACCTTGATGGCGAAAAGAAAATTTGGAAAACCAAATTTCTCTTTCAGCCACATCTAACAAAATTTTATCTTTCAGCAATGCCTTCGCGACGAGATGAATTTTTTTCTATGCAACACCTCAACGGAAAGCCAAATTTCTCTTTCAGCCATACCACAACGTGAGCCAATTTTTTTTATATTTTATTTTAGCAATACCCTAGGAATGAGCCAATTACTTTTTTCAGAGACACATCTACGGACCAAAAATTTCCTTTGCAGCTACACTTTTGGCAGCACACCAAAACTTTCCTTTGTAGCTAAACTTTGGCACGGACCAAAAATTTCCTTTGCAGCTACACATTGCCGACAGATCAAATAATCCTTTGCATCTACAATTTGGTGACGGACCAAAATTACTTTTGCAGCTACACTTCGGTGACGAGCCAAATTTCCTTTGTTGCTACAATTTGGCGACAGACCAAAATTTTCCTCGCAGCTACACTTCGGTGGCGTGCCAAGTTGATAGGATGCGACGAGCCCTTTTGATATCGCATGATGAGTGACAACAATATCTTGACAGCAAAACCAAGTTGACAAATTGCGATAAGCACTTTTGTTATCTTGTGACGAGCAATGAACGCTTTTGATATCATGTGAAAAGAATAATTTTCCATCTTTGAAGCCTTTTTTTTTTTTTGGTCGGGTTTATTGAACTCGAACCAAATCTCCAATATGCCTACTTACCCCGAACAAGGATCAAGTCATCACGTAGTTCATACTTTCTTTTTTTTGGAAATAATTTAAACTCGTTTCAAGGATTTTTTTCCCCTAAACAGTTTATACGAATGTTGAGGAGTTTTATTTTTATTTTTTATTTTTCCAAGTAGATAGTTTAAATTCGTGTCAAGGAGTGCTTCTTCTTTCTTCTTCTTCTTCTTCTTCTTCTTCTTTTTTTTTTTTTTTTTTTTTGCAAACAATTTATACTCATGTTAAGGAGTTCTTGATTTTTATTTTATTTTATTTTATTTTTTGGGAGAAGGTTTAAACTCGTGTCAAGGAGTGCTATCAACAGTTTAGGCTCGTATCGGGTAGCACTTGATATATAATTATTCTTTAACTTTACAAAAATCAGATGACAGTCCAAGCTCATATCGGAAGGCATGGACTATCTCTGCAAACCCTTTCTTGTTCAAGTTGTGACGGACGTAAAGAGTTTCCTCAAATATCTTATGCTTGAGAGTTTATGTTATTGTCAAATTCGCTATTCTACCAAGGGTTCTTTGACTCGATGCCCTCTGTGATTTAGCACTTTCGCGTGAAGTCATTGTAGTAGCATGATGCATTTGTTGATGAAAGTCTTAGGAAACGATTCTTGTTATGAAATATGTAGCTACTTTGTCGTTCACGCTAGGAAGTATTCAATCTTCCTCTTCGGAACCTCCGTCTTCTTCAAGAAGGTTGTTTGATATATCAAGATCATATTCTGTAGTACCATGGCTTGTTATGCTAAGCTCCATGTTGTGGGCTCGAGTAACAAGCTTTTCAGATGTGCCAGGCTTAATCCCTTGTAGGGTGTAAAGTAGCTCCCAGGGCATGCCTTGTATACACGTTTCAAGTGTAGAAATTTCAGACAAATGATCTTTGCAGTCAAGACTTAGAGCTTGCCAACGGTTTATGTAGTCAACCACCAGCTCATCCTTCATTTGTTTGATGTTAGTAAGCTCTAACATGCTCACTATTATGCGAGTATTGCAGAAGTGGTTGAGAAATTCTCGTTTCATCTGCACCCAATCGTCAATACTGCTAGCTTTGAGGTATGTGTACCAATCAAATGCATTCTCTTTTAGGGAACACACAAATTTCTTGACAAAGAGGTCCCCTTTTGTACAAGCATTGTTGCAAGTCTCTACAAAATGTGCCACATATTGATTAATTTTTATTTATTTCATAAAGCTTATTTTTAGTCACTAAATTCTTAAATAATAGTGGTAAATTCATTAAAAATTCATCTTTATCGACTTCCGTTATAAAAAGTAGCGTATCGGTTCATTTTGATTAATACGTGCGAGTTTTTAAAAAATTCACGACTGCGATGACTGATTTTATTATGTAACTTTAATACAGGTCCGAATACATTACACTGCGACCAATATCGTGATTGCCAATCTTGGTCTTTATTGTTGTAACATCTTTACATGATTATAGTAAAAAAATTTCATCCGTGGAGGTAGACAAGAGTTTGGATGAACAACGTATATCTGGTGTTGTGTGTGGCTTGTGTATGCTTTATTGCTCTAATTGGATTTTCATGGATTTTGTGCAACTGCATTCTGGTAGAGTGCGAGTAGTCTAGTTCTCCACTTTTGGGTTGCTCAGACATGGGATTAAAATAAAAATATGAGACTTAAATTTATTTATTGGTGAAAGGGCAGACATGGGACATTAAAATAATAAATTGGGTATTTGATTGATTTATTTATTTTAAAAGGACATATCAGAAATGATTGAGCATAAAGATCTCATTCGATCTAAATATTTAATTTAATTTTTCTTTTTTAATCACAATTCATCCTTTCTATAATATTTACTTTTTAAAATTATTTTTAATCAATTCATCCCATGTCAATTAAGTTCAACTTAATATTTCACACCAAATGGTGAAATATATTATTATTTTATTTCTTAAAATTTTAATTTACATTTATCTCAGGCTTAAATTTTTTTTATAAGGGTTATCTCATACTTTAATTGCATTATATTACTTATAAAATTAAGTTCAATTACAATCCAATAAGAGAAAAGTTTAATCTCCTATATTTCTCTAAGCTATACTAGCTCACCATTCTAAACAAAATGACATCTCCACAGTCCTTTGATGTAATAATTTAAAGAAAAATGCACTGAAATTTTCACATTTCTTTGATGCATTAAACTCAAATTTTACTGTGAAACTTTTAGGCTAGTTTGGTTGGAAAGAAATGTAAGAAAAAGAAAAATAAAATAAAATAAAAGGATATTGTTTTTTTTTTTTTTTTTTTTTTTTTTGAATATTGGAAAGAAAAGAAAGGGAATGGAAGTATTTGGTGGGACACAATAAAAATTGATGAGATGGTTTTGTTATCTTCGCAAGAATGGAAGGAAATGTCAGCATTTGTAATGAATCTTTATTGATACCAATTTTTTCATATATTTATAAAGAAAACCTATAAAAATGGTATGGTAATAAATTTATTAAAATAATTTCATTTTCTTTCTTTCTCGAAAAATGATTATTATAATTTATATATATATATTAATTAACTAAACACAATAAATGTTTAATACTATCATTTCAATTTTATTATTATTTTTTATTTTTTTCTTAAATCTTGTAACTAATCTTATTATTTCTTTTCTTTTCTATGTACTCAACCTAGCTTTAATCGGTTAAAGAATCATTTTTCTACTCAACCCATTTATTTATTTTTTGCCAAAAGTCCTAACTTCATTTTTAAAGCAGTAAACTCATTTTCCAGATAATGATAATTAGTAATAGATATTTGTGAAAAAAGAATGCTACTTTGACAGAAGGATTAATCTAATTGCTTGATGTGAGTTGGTGTAATAAAACGATGTCGTGTGAGGCAGTATAATAAACCCCTATTTTAGGGTTCATCAGGAAAGACGGTTTTAGGGAAGCAGATCCAAAATTGCGACAAGATTTCCTCTGAAGAACAAGAACAGAACAACAGGTGAGTCCCTTCCATCATTGTCCATGTTTAATTTCATATTCAAATCTTTGCGTTATTTTAGGTGTGTTGTTGTATCAACTTCACTTACCCACAAACTCCATTTTCTTCAACACCACCCATTATCTTCTTCATCATCATTAGCTCTCAAATCCATATCTAGCACTTCAAATCAACACTCATTCACAGTCGATTACCTTATTAAATCATGTGGGTTTCCTCCAGAAAAGGCTCTCTCGGCCTCCAAGTACGTGAACTTCAAAACCCCAGACCAACCAGACTCTGTTCTCGCATTCTTCAGAAACCATGGATTCACCGAAATCCAGATCTCACTTCTCATCAGAAGACTCACTCGGCTACTCTTGTCCGATCCCGATAAAACCCTTTTACCCAAAATCGAATTTTTCCACTCTAAAGGTTTTTCAACCCAAGAGATTTCCAAAATACTGTCTGCAGCACCACGTGTTTTGAGAAGAAATTTGGAAAACCAAATCATCCCATCGTACAATTTCTTGAAGGAATTTCTCAAGTCCGAAGCAAAGACGAATGCCGCCATTAAACACTTTGCTAGGATTTTGTTGTATGATCTTCACATAAATGTAGCACCCAATATTGAAGCTCTGAGAGAAATAGGTGTGCCCGAATCGAATATTGTGGCTCTCTTGACAAATCTACCTGGTGCTTTCACAGCTAGTACTGATAGGTTTAAGGAGATTGTGGAAGAAGTAAAGAAAATGGGCTTTAACCCTGAAAAAATGACGTTTGCTCTAGCAATTGGTGCAGTGAAGGGAATGAGTAAATCAACTTGGGAAAAGAAGGTGGAGGTTTATAAGAAGTGGGGTTTGTCTGAGGATGAGATTTTGGTGGCTTTTGGGAAGCAACCACAGTTTATGGTGATATCAGAGGATAAGATTATGGGGATAATGGATTTTTTTGTCAATAAAATGGGTTGGGAGTCTTCGATTGTTGTGAGGACGCCAGTGCTTGTTGGCCTGAGCTTGAAGAGGAGGATCATTCCAAGGTGTTTGGTTTATCAAATTCTGTTGTCCAAAGGTTTGATTAAGAAAGATTTTGGCTTGATTCAGATGTTGGTGTCTCCTGAAAGTTACATCCTACAGAAGTATGTGAAAAAATATGAGAAAGAAGCTCCTGAGCTTTTGAAGTTATATCAGGAGAAGTTGAATCTTTCAAAGTGACTAGAATATGGAAAAATGAGGAACAGAGTTGGTTTCGAAGTGACTAGAATATGCTTTTGTGTGAAATACAACATGGTAATCAATTCACATTCATTGATCTCTGAGCAAATTTGAATTATCCGTTTTACAAAACACTCTCAAGCTTTCACGCCTAATGCTGATAGGTTTAAGGAGATTGTGGAGGAAGTAAAGAAAATGGGTTTTAACCCTACAACAATGATGTTTGGTATAACAATTTATGCACTGAGGGCAATGAGTGAATCAACTTGGGAAAAGAAGGTGGAGGTTTATAAGAAGTGGGGTTTGTCTGTGGCTTTTGTGAAGCCTCCAAGGTGTATGGTGGCATCAGAGGATAAGATTATGGGGATGATGGATTTTTTTGTCAATGAAATGGGTCGGGAGTCTTCGATTATTGCGAGGAGTCCAGTGCGTGTTTCCCTGAGCTTGGAGAGGAGGATCATTCCAAGGTTTTTCGTTTATCAAAGTCCTTTGTCGAAAGGTTTGATTAAGAAGGATTTTGGCTTGATTAAGATGTTGGTGTCTCCTGAAAGTTACTTCCTAAAAAATTTTGTGAAAAAATATGAGGAAGAAGCTCCCGAGCTTTCGAAGTTTTACCAGGAGAAGTTGAATCTTTCAAAGTAACTAGGATATGGGGGAAAAGAGTAACAGAGTGGACTTCTTAATTCCAACTAGACATTGGTAGTGAATATTCTTGGGTACTCATGGGTAGTGAATATGCTTTTGTTTGAAATTCACATTGTCTGTTTTAGTTCTGGCATTGAAACTTAGAAGCCCAACAAAATGGTGCATTGAATTCTCCAGTACTTTTGTAGTGGTTAAGACTTGGTGTGATATGGCATTGTCTGTAATCTGGGAAAGCAGTCTAGCTGATCTAGGTTTTGGAACTAGTTCAATTTGGTAAATTAATGATTTTGATTTTCAATTGTAATGATGCAAACCTCTAATTCAGTGTTGTACTTCTTTATCCATCAACTATTATCTTCCTCTTTTCATTACGGCATAAATAAATGAGATTATATAACGTTGTTCTATTTATGCAAGTGTGACATTGTTGGTTCAATTCATGATTCAGTCCATCTACCATCTTCCTCCCAGACTGTAATGAGAATTTCTTTTGCTCATTTTCATACCATATTCCCTACTAAGCATTAGTTGCTCACCCGGTTATGCGTAGTGTTTATTATTATTTTTATTTATTTATGTTTTTTTAACTTAGACTATATGTATGAATGATGTAATTTGAAGAAACTTGATGCATTATGTGTATGGTTAAGTAACCATGTTATAGTATGTATGATTATTGTAAGTTACATGGTCATTTCATGTTGTTCATGATTACTAGCATGTTAGAAGTGGTATTGGCCTTGTCGGCCTTTCCTTTATTTTGCACTTCAAATGGGAGAGGTCGTGTCCCCATTATCTTCGTATTCAACACGTGTGAATTTATGGGTCTCATGGTAGTATTTATTTAGGCCTTAATCTTGCTCACTTTTTTACCCTTCTTTGTTTTTTTTTGGGAAAATTACACGGACACTCGGGTTAAGTTAAATTTCATGTAAACTAACATTTTGGTTTTAATTTTCAGTTACACTCCAAATTTTTTTTGGGCTCTGACATGTCAAATCGACCCATTTATTCTTTTTTTTTTTTTTTTTCATACAATTTAAAACAAAATACCTATAAACTTAAATGACAAAAATACCCTTATTAATAAACAAAACCCACCCGTGCCAAATCAATCTCTCTCCGCTCTCTATATGTATCGAAACATTGATCTGGAAAGCTAATGATGCTCCTAGATCTGAAAAGCTATTGTTTTTTGCTTTAACATTTTCGTTTCTTGTCTGTTTTGGTTCATTGCAATTTGTTTTGTAGATAGCAAATGTTGTTTTGAATTTCATGTATGAATCTAAAAAGAATGGTGGTGTTCGTATTTTCAGATGTCTGTTTATAATCTTTATATCTATGTATATATTTACAGCTAACAATACTTTTTATGTTCAGTTCTCATTTTTAATTAAATCAAAACTTTTTTTTGTTGAAATCTAATTTGTAATTTAGTGAATTGGGTTGGAAAAGTATGTTCAAAAGATTACAAAGATGTATTTTTTGCTGTGAATTTGATTCTGACAATTTAATCTAACTATTATCTAATACAAATTAGTTTGATCATCCTTCTCTAATCTCTCTAATTTGTTTCTTTTGGATCAATAGTTACATAAATGTCTATAATATGTTTTGTGTTTACTTTTAACTTGCTATGACTCCCGACAGAAGTATTATACACACACACACGCATACTTAGTGAGAGAAGAAGAGGGTTGATTTTAGAATATTTTGGTAATTTAAAATAGGTCTCTTGGGGGTGTATAAGTCATTTTACACATAAAATAAAGTTAACACAAAGTTAAAAAGGTAATATAGTCATTTTATAGTCATGAATTTTGAAATCCGGGGTTAGTCGACCGGACCTTGAGTTAGTCAATCGTACCTTGAGTTAGTCAATTGGGGTACGAATCATATAAATTTATTTATTTAGAGCATTCTTTAGGGGCTGTTTGGGGGATCTTTAGGGAATTTTCTCATAGTTATTGAAAGCATGTTTTAAAGTTCAATTGGGGGTTGTTTGGCAACCTAAGGTATTTCACATTCTTTTTTAACGGTCCTTTGTTTTAGTCAAAATATTATTTTATACCACGAAACTCCTCTTTTTTTAATCTTATTTTGTAAAAACATTTATGAAACTTTTCCGTGGTGTCACCGTCCATAAAAATGATTTGTTTTACATTTTGAGGTTTTTCTCAAATATCTTCAAGTAGAGTCATTCCACAAGCTTTGGACTTAAAATGATGCATTCACGTGACGTTGTTTCATTTATATCTCGAGACTTTGTATGGCAACTATTTGAATGAGATTGGAGACCTTTTTGATCTCCATATTTTACTTCCGTTTTGTGAACTCGGGTATTGGGTCCGATTTACGTTCACTTTACTTATACATCGGGTCATCTAGATTCGGGCATGACAATAAAGATGATTAATATATATTTGTATTAAAAAAATTAATAATTGTAGTTCAACAGTTGCACTAACGAATTATTTGTTGTAACTGAACTGACAGGAATGGACAGTAAGAATTGTCGAAGGCCGGTATTTCTGTTCTCCTGAACCGATGCCATTTAATAGACTACTTTAGGAAACAGGAGAGTAATTTAGGGTTCATCATCAGGAAAAAAAGTAGAATTCTTTCTCTAGAAACGCATCGTGTTAAGGCAGTATAAGTATATTGAACAGATCGAGCGTCAGAGAGTGTTTTAAGCTCAGTTTGGTAGAGTGGAAATAAGATGAAAAGAAAAGAATGGTTACGGAGGGTGATAAAAAAATGTGTTTAGTATTGAAAGTTGAAAGGAAAGGAAAGGGAATGGAGGGTTTTGGAGGGATAGAAATAGGCTCAACAGTGTTTGTAATCCTCCCAAAAATGGGAGGAAATGGAAAGAAAGGGGAGGACAGGGCACGAGAGAGTAATGTAATACCAAATTTACCCTTGATTCTAGGGGGCCAAAATTCACTACGTTGAGGAGAGGCTGGAACAGAATTGCAGTCGCCGGAAACGAAGGGGCACGTGAAAGACTCGTTAAATCTACTCGCATGCGCGCGTGACGGCGAGTGGGCGGCGAAGTTCAGTCCGGCGATGAATCAAGCATGGCAGATAGGTACATGGATGGAACTAATTTCAATTTTGTGGCTGACCAGACTTCCTCACCGCCCATGGAAGCTGTCGGACCTAACTACTTCACTATTTGTTCTGAAATATATGGGTTTTGAACTTCTAATTCTTATAGATTTTGTAGTTTGCAGTTGCACAGAGAGAGAGAGAGAGAGCGAGAGAGAGGGCAAGTTCAGAGTTGAGAATGAGAATAGAGATAGAGGTGGAGGCTGAATTTATTTGCCTTAAAAATAGATTAGTTTTTCTGGTGGCCCGCCTATAAATTATGAGGCCCATAACTTTATTTTTTATAATATAAAAGGGTATAATAGTAAATTTACTAAAATACTTTCCTTCCCTTTCTTTTCCCAAACATAATTATTATCCTTTCCTTTCTTTTCCTTCATTAATCAACCAAACACGATAGGGGATTAAAATTATCCTTCCCTTCCATTCCCTTCCATTCCCTTCTCTTCCATTTCCTTTCCCTCATAACTAATGTTATCCTCCCCCTTCAAACCCACCGTACCAAACACAGCCTTAGGGTTTATCAGAAAGGAGGCTTTTAGAGAAGGATATCCAAATTTGCGACTAAATTTCTATCAAAAGAACAAAAGCAGAAAAGGTGAGTCCCTTCTAGCAGTTTCCATGTTTAATTTCATATTTAAATCTTTGCTTTATTTGAGGTGTGTTGTTGTATCAACTTCACTTATCCACAAACTCCATTTCCTTCAACACTACCGATTCTCTTCTTCATCATTAGCACTCAAATCCGTATCTAGCACTCCAAATTAACACTCATTCACCGTCGACTACCTCATAAAATCATGTGGGTTTACTCCAGAAAAGGCTCTTTTGGTCTCCAAACGCCTGAAGTTCGAAACCCCAAACAAACCAGACTCTGTTATGGCATTCTTCAGAAACCATGGATTCACAGATACCCAGATCTTACTTTTCATCAGAAAACTCCCTCGGTTACTCTTGTCTGATCTCGAGAATACCCATTTACCCAAAATCAAAATTTTCCACTCTAAAGGTTTTCCAACCCAAGAGCTTGCCAAAATACCATCTACAGCACCAGGTGTTTTGAGAAGAAGTTTGGAAGACCATATCATCCTAGCGTACAATTTTTTCAAGGTATTGCTGAAGACTGAAAAAAAAAATGAATGTCGTTATTAAACGCTTTGCTGGGATTTTGTTGTATGATGATCTTCACATACATGTAATACCCAATATTGAAGCTATGAGAGAAATAGGTGTGCCCGAATCGAATATTGTGGCTTTCTTGACAAAACAACCTCAAGCTTTCACGCCTAACGCTAATAGGTTTAAGGAGATAGTGGAGGAAGAAAAGAAAATGGGTTTTAACCCTACAAAAATGATGTTTGGTGCTGCAATTCATGCAATGAGGGGAATGAGTAAATCAAATTGGGAAAAAAAGGTGGAGGTTTATAAGAAGTGGGGTTTGTTTGAGGATGAGATGTTGGTGGCTTTTGTGAAGCATCCAAGGTGTATGGTGGCATAAAAGGATAAGATTATGGGGATGATGGATTTTTTTGTCAATAAAATGGGTTGGGAGTCTTCTATTATTGTGAGGAGGCCAGGGCTTCCTTGCTTGAGCTTGGAGAGGAGGATCATTCCAAGGTGTTTGGTTTATCAAATTCTGTTGTCAAAAGGTTTGATTAAGAAGGATTTTGTAACGACCCTAAACTGATACCATTTATAAAAAAAATTCGGCATGACTTCCGCTAAAAAGAGTCCTACGACTACCTGCTTAATGCATAAAAATACAAAGGTCTCTCTCTTGGACCTTCAAAATTTATCTAATCTGTCCCAACACAATGCAAATAATACATTCCAGCATCCCTTTCATCCATTCATCACGCCTCAACATAGTTCATTTCATGGTGGAATATCCACATACCATTTAATCCAAATATCGTGAATACAGTCCCAACAATACATGGTTAAGATCTAAAGTCCATGTCTTACAACGTTTAGACAACTTATAATAAAATTACAGCCCATAAATATAATTACAATAATAAGAGTTCACAAATCTCTATACCAAATATAACAAACTAAGATTTTACAAAAAATATAGGACTTAAATACAAAAATAGCAAAACGATCTTTTAATCCAATTTAAGCCTGTGGTGGAACGTTATTCGCCCCTTCTTTCCCCTTTCCTAAAAAATATGTTAAATATAAAGGGTGAGCAAAATTGCTCAGTAGGTGGTGCCTAAGATGCGTCTCTTGTGACCCGTGAATCCAAATAATGAATAGGATGATAGGTAGAGGGGTCATGCTAAATCGGGGAAAATACAATATAAATCTACAAGTTCAAAACAAATGAATGTCGTGCCATGAATGTAATATCATGCATGTCACTCCCCATTTTCAAAAAATTTCATTACTTCACAAACTGTTAATATAACCCGCCCTTTGGTGACTCCGCAATGACATGAGAGAAGGATTGGCTATTATCCCTGACATTTGGTACCTCCGTAGTGTCATTTGGGGCCCAGATAGCTCAACTACGCTAGGGCAATCTCCCTAATTCCCTTTAGGCTATATTAACACACCGGCCCTTTGGTGACTCCACAGCGACCGGGTTTTCTTAAAACCGTTTCATCAAATTCTTCCTAAAAATCCCCTTTTTCATTCTTATCAAATCATGGTACCCTTTTTTTTTTTTTTTCATGCCCATGCTATGAATGCATATCACATGTCTTTTTAATATTATGAAAATGGAGAGAATTATTATCACACAATTAGCATATTTCCATATAAAATTTTCAATAAATTATTAAGGATCATAGACATGGAAAAATTAACATATTAAGCATACTAAAATTCTAAGAAAATTTTCATAAGCTTCCATTTATCATTTCTATCAATTTTGTTAACACAATAATATAAAGAAATCAATAATGAAGCATGACAAAAATTCTAAGGAAATTTCCACAAGCTTCCAAGTATCATTTCTAACAATTTTGTCAACACAATAATATAATGAAATTAATAATTAAGCATGTTTTTTATATGAATCAATAATTACACATACAATCATGAACTTTATACCCACAAGAAAATCATTCTAGAGATAATTAATTTCAATTAAGCATGTTGGCATCAAATAACAAGAATTAACTCACTGATGAACAAGAAAATGCAAATTAGAGACCCCTACCTCTAAATAAGCCAAAAACCCCAATTTTCACCTCAAACCCTGGGATTAGAGATCCCCTAAATGATGGCCAAATGAAGATTGGCTCCGATCAACTCGTAGACCTTGTCGTGGGCTTCAATTTACCGCAAACAGCACTTAAAATTACTAAGGAATGATGAATTAATCAGAGGTTAAAGTTGCAAAGGAAAAAGAAAAAGAAAAAGGCAGCGAGAGAGAGAACTGGCCGAGAGAGAAGCTGATTGCATAAAAATGGGTCTGTAATTGCCCTTTGTCATGTAATGACTTAAAATATCAGCGGGCCCCACTAATTAAAATATATATATTTTAACTTTAAATATATATACACATATATATCACAAACATTACATTCTCCCCAACTTTAAAAGATTTTGTCCCGAAGTCAAGCCATACCTGTGGGAGGAAACAATTCTGAATACTTGGAGCGAACTTCCTGTTCTAACTCCCAAGTAGACTCCTTAACTCCATGATGCCTCCAAAGAACTTTCACCAATGGTATCGTCTTATTCCTTAACACTTTCTGCTGTGTGTCAAAGATCTGAACTGGTCCCTCCTCGTAGGAAACATCCTCATTAATGTCCACATCAACCCAACTCAAAATGTGAGATGGATCTGACTCGTACTTCCGTAACATCGATACATGGAAAACATTGTGGACCCTGTCCAACTGTGGTGGCAAAGCAAGTTTGTAGGCAACCTCACCTACTCGGTCCAAGATCTTAAAAGGTCCAATGAATCGTGGCGATAACTTATCACTCTTCCCGAACCTCAACAGTCCCTTCCGTGGAGAAACCCGTAGAAAAACATGGTCTCCCACATAAATGTAGCACCCAATATTTGTTGTATGATCTTCACATAAATGTAACACCCAATATTGAAGTTCTGAGAGAAAAAGGTGTGCCCGAATCGAATATTGTGGCTCTCTTTACAAGACATCCTCAAGCTTTCATGGCTAAAGCTGATAGGTTTAAGAAGATTGTGGAGGAAGTAAAGAAAATGGGTTTTAACCCTACAAAAATGATATTTGTAGCAATTCATGTACTGAGGGCAATGATTAAATCAACTTGGGAAAAGAAGGTGGCGGTTTCTAAGAAGTGGGGTTTGTCTGAGGATGAGATTTTGGTGGCTTTTGTGAAGCATCCACAGTGTATGTTGGTATCAAAGGATAAGATTATGGGGATGATGGATTTTTTTGTTAATAAAATGGGTTGGGAATCTTCGATTATTGCGAGGAGGCCAATGCTTCTTTGCTTGAGCTTCAATTGTAATGATGCAAACATCTAACTCTGTGTTGTACTTTTTTATCCATCAACTGTTATCTTCCTCTTTTGTTTAGAGCATAAAAAAAATGAGATTATATAAAATTGTTCTCTTTATGCAAGTGTGACGTTGTAGTTTCAATTCACGATCAGTCCATCTCCCATCTTCCTCCATGTCTGTATTATGTGTTTTCTTTAAGTTTGTCCAGGATGAATTCAGGTTTACACTCTTTTCTTTACCTGTATTATTGACGATGATTAGTCCATAAAACAAGTTTCTATTCTTTCTGGTGAGTATGAAGCTGGAATGGAGAAGAAAGTGTTGATAGATATCTCAGCTGGAGAATCATTGACTATTATCCACTGTGTTCCTTTCTATTCTTCCTTTGTTTGTTTGTTTGGAGAATGATGTTTTAGGGACAAAGGTTGAAAGGGAATGAAATATATTTAGGGACTCTTATCAACATGATTTATTACTGTTAAAGTTAATTTCATCATTGGTATCAAATTGTAATCCCATGAGTAGAAAATTGGAATAAATGTACTACAGTGAAATTCACTATGACATGTGATCATGATTTTCAAAACGCACAAGTCACGATTCTCGAAACAAAACATTTGTTTTTTAGACATAGGGAGTAACTAAGAGCCAGAAGAGTAGGTTGTACAAAACCGGAAGCATTTGCCTGCCATTTCACACAGCTCAAGAATCTAGTCGTGCGGATTGCCTGAAAGTGAATTCTGAATATAAATGCGACAGTATTATTCCAGATATGATAGGTTAGAATTCAAACAAAAATTCTTCTCAAATCGGAATTCCAACTTCTTTTTGGGCTTTGTCACACTAGCATTTCCCGGATCCCTTTTAAAAGAACTTTGTAAAAGAAAACTCTTTAATAAAAGTAATATCCTTTTAAAAAACACGTCTTAAAGAACTCAGGCTGTTGGAAATGATTTTTTTTTTTTAAATTTATTAACGCTGGTTGAGATATTTCGTTTCACACTTAAATTACTTTTTCATAAAACATGCATTAAATAACTTAATTTATTGTTGTATGGGTACAGTATGACCAACTTACAGCAGGAATCCTAGTCCCATCTAAAGATCTCATTCGATCCAAATATAAATTAAATTTTCTTTCTTTTTTAATCACAATTAATTCTTCCCATAATATTTAATTTTTATTTTTTATTTTTAAAAAAAATGTCATATCAATAGTAGGATCACACACAAATCAATCCATGGAGATTCAATTTACCCAAGATTAATTCTTATCATGCTTTTTTATATTTTTATATAATAGGAGCAACTTAATATTTCACATAAAATTGTGAAATATGTTATTATTTTATCTATAAAAATCGTAATTTACATTTATTTCACACTTTAGTTCTTTTTTCGGATAAGGTTCACAGACTTCAATTGCATCATTTAATTTATATTGCTTATATCCAGTTCAACCAAAATTTAATAAGGAAAAGGTTTCATCTTTTATATCATATGCTAACTCAACATTTCAAATAGTGACACCTTTTAGGTGCTTTTATATAATATAAAATGAAATATATTGACACTTTTACATTTTTTTTTGGCAATAAACTGAAATTTAAGTGTCAAAACTCTTAATTGTTGAAGTCAGTTGAAGAATCATTTTTCTTTCTTAATCCATTTATTTTTTTACCAAGAATCCTTAAGCTCGTTTGTAAAGAAAAAAAAAAAAGAAAAAAAAAAAATTAATAATCCTAGTTCAACAGTTGCACTAACGATTATTTGATGTAACTGGCTGGACTGGACAGTAAGAATTGTCCAAAACGGCATTTCTGCTCTCTTGAAACGATGTCGTTTACTAATCTACTTTAGGAGATAGGAGAGTAGTATTTTAGGATTGATCATCAGGGTAGAATTCTTGCTCTCTGGAAACGGCGTCGTGTTGAGGCACGATAAGTGTATTAAACAGGTCGAGAGTAGGAGAGTGTTTAGGGTTTATCAGAAAGGGGCTCTTTTTAGGGAAGGATATCCATAATTGCGACAAGATTTCTATCAGATCGAAGAACAAGACCAGAACTGGTGAGTCCCTTCCAGCAGTTTCCATGTTCAATTTCATATTCAAATCTTTACCTTATTTGAGGGGTGTTTTTGTATCAACTTCACCAACCAAGAAACTGCATTTTCTTCAACACTATCCATTATCTTCTTCATCATCAGCACTCAAATCCGTATCTAGCACTCCAAATCTACACTCATTCACAGTCGACTACCTCATAAAATCATGTGGGTTTCCTCCAGAAAAGGCTCTCTCGGCCTCCAAGTACACGAACTTCGAAACTCCAGACAAACCAGACTCTGTTCTCACACTCTTCAGAAACCATGGATTCACCGATACCCAGATCTCAGTTCTCATCAGAAAACTCCCTCGGCTCCTCTTGTCTGATCCCGAGAATACTCTTTTACCCAAAATGGAATTTTTCCACTCTAAAGGTTTTTCAACCCAAGACATTGCCAAAATACTGTCTGCAGCACCAGGTGTTTTGAGAAGAAGTTTGGAAAACCAAATCATCCCAACGTACAATTTTTTCAAGGCATTGCTGAAGACCGAAGAAAAAACGAATGTCGTTATTAAACACTTTCCTGGGATTTTGTTGTATGATGATCTTCACATATGTGTAGTATCCAATATTGAAACTCTGAGAGAAATAGGTATGCCCGAATCGATTATTGTGAGTTTCTTCACAAATCAACCTCAAGCTTTCACGCCTAATGCTGATAGGTTTAAGGAGATTGTGGAGGAAGTAAAGAAAATGGGTTTTAACCCTACAAAAACGATGTTTGGTGCTGCAATTAATGCACTGAGGGCAATGAGTAAATCAACTTGGGAAAAGAAGGTGGAGGTTTATAAGAAGTGGGGTTTGTCTGAGGATCAGATTTTGGTGGCTTTCAGGAAGTATCCAATGTTTATGGTGGCATCAGAGGATAAGATTACGGGAATAATAGATTTTTTTGTCAATAAAATGGGTTGGGAATCTTCGATTGTTGCGAGGAGGCCAGTGCTTCTTGGCCTGAGCTTGGAGAGGAGGATCATTCCAAGGTGTTTGGTTTATCAAATTATGTTGTCGAAAGGTTTGATTAAGAAGGATTTTGGCTTGATGATGCGGATGTTGGAGTCTCCTGAGAGTTGCTTCCGAAAGAAGTATGTGAAAAAATATGAGGAAGAAGCTCATGAGCTATTGAAGTTATATCAGGAGATGTTGCCTTGATTCCAACTATACATTGGTTTCTCCTTGTGTACTCTTGGTTAGTGAATATGCTTTTGTTTGAAATACAGCATGGCAATCAATTCACATTCATTATTCTCTGTGCAAATTTGAGTTCTCTGTTTTTGTTCTGGCAATTGAAACTTGAAGCTCAACAACATGGTGCATCTAATCCCGGCAATTGAAACTTATGTAGTGGTAAGGCTTTGTTTGATTATACGGTTGTCTGGTTGTTTGGGAGAGCAGTGTAGGCGATCTTGGTTTTGTTTGTCATACTGTTTTGGAACTAGTTCAATTTGGTAAATTAATGATTTTGATTTTCAATTGTAATGATGCAAACCTCTAACTCAGTGTCGTACCTCTTTATCCATCAACTGTTATCTTCCTCTTTCATTTTAATTTGGTTCAATTCATGATTGAGTCCATCTACCATCTTCCTCCCAGTCTGTATTTATAACTTTCTTTAAGTTTGGTAACGATGTTCAATTTGTCCAGGATGAATTCAGGTTTACACTCTTTTCTTTTGCTCGTTGGTGTTGATAAATTTGAAGTGTAAAGGAACATAAAATATTATGCATATACTACCAATAATAAACAGTCAAAGAAATCATTTTGAGTGTATTCAGGAGACATGCTGATCAATAATTTGAGGGCTTTTATTTTGTTGACTGAGGACTTACATTATAAGACATTGCAGTACCTTGCAGATGACAAATAATATATATTATTGAATGCTAATATATATTCTGTATGGTTGTGTGTGTGTATTGCTGCTATTTCAGCAGCCAATATTGGTAGAGGAAACAGCAATTCGTTACACACACATAAGTTCTATAGAGGCTAACAATTCATTCTCATAATTAATACATAATGCTCTCAATTTTAGCAGGAACATGACTATTATTGTAGAAAATGAATTAAGATCATTGTGGAAGATAGTTAGGACAAATTATGAACTACCCAGAAACAACTTATGGGTATAATTAGGACAAGTTATATAGAGGCTAAAAATTCCACTTACCTTGCCCCAGTTCCTAATCCCTCAAGAATGAAAGATTTTCTACCTATTGCCTGTTGTAATACTATTTATAAGGTCATTTCTAAACTTACTAGCTATGAAATTTCAGTCTATTCTTTCCAGTTATTGTTCAGAATAAAACACAGAAGAATCGGGAATGGCATTTTTTTTTTTGTCAATTTATGAAGGGCTATCATCTCTCATCCCAAAGTGTGGCCTGAAAGCGGATCTGCAGAGAGCATATGATCCAGGTAACTACAGTTTCTTCTTGACAGCTTATTACTCCTTGGCTGCCCTGTTCTTTTTCTTAATTAGATTGAGGCTTGTGTTACCAGCCCATCATTCCCTATCTCTGTTAATGGAGAATTGTTTGGGTACTTCAAAACGACCAAAGGGTTGAGGAAAGGGGACCCCATCTCTCCTTTCCAATAAGCAACAAGGGTATTGACAGTGCCCCCTCTTCCAATTCCATTGGAAATGCAGGAAAATAGAGTTATTCCTGCTAATTGCCTAATGTTGTTTTGTCATGGTGACCTGTTTTCCATCTAGATTGAAAGAAAATGAGTGCAGATCATTGGTGGAGAGAAAATAACTGCTAGAGTAAATTATTGGACTGCAAGGTTCGAGGGAGGTTCCTTTGGACTGGTGTTGATTTAAAGGTAATAGGAGCCAAAGTGTATTGGAATTCAGACTTCAACTTGCCTAGCTATAAAGCTGCTGCTTCATCTTAATTTATGACTCTTAATTTCATTAATTATTCAATCTTTTGTTATTGCTTTAATTTTAGCCTGTTTAATTAACTCAAATTTCACTCTCTCTCTCTCTCTCTCTTTGTTGTGTTGTCTCCCTAATTAATTATATGAGTTTCTTTCAATTTCTCTGTAAATATGTGTTGAACATGTGCTTAAATTAGTGTATTAGTAATATTTTTATTTTCCTTCTGCTTCTGCAGTAAAATTTCCCTCATTTCTTCATACCCCATTTGGATGTTTATCAAGTAGTAGTTGAATATTTAGTTGTTTTCATTTAATCCAAACTCGTATATGGGTTTTGTCTCTATCTGAATTGCTTTTGTTTGTTTCTTGCGGCGAAACTAAACATTTTATAAATGACTTTTCTTGCAAGATTTTTCTACGTGTCATTATAATTGTTTTTAGTAACGCTATGTCTTTTTCACACTAATCAAGTCCATGTATCATATTTCTCAAAATTTTGTACAATTATTAGATTCAACATGTTTTGGTATTCTATACTACGTATGTATTACCCTCTCTGCCATTTAAGCCAAAAAAATAATTAAAAAAGAAAAAAAAAAAAAAAAAAAAACAATATTTGAGATCTACCATTGTTGACATAAAGATCAAGTGTACGAAAGAGCAAAATTACATTTTATGGATTAAGGCTTATTGGAGGTTAAATTCACCCAAACACTCCTATTTTCTGAACATTTAAACAATCCAAGTAAACATAGAGTTGGGCATGGTGCGGTATAAGTTCATTAATTGAGCTCCTTTGATCTGGTTTTGGCATGGTTAAGGTATCCAATTTGCATATGGCAAAATCATTTATCCATACTGACTTGGTAAAATAATTTGTTAAATGGTGGATATATGGAATTTGGGAAAATTATATATTGGTTATCAAAATTAAACATACTTGCTCTATAGTGTCTTTAAAGTAAAGAAAAGGTAAATAGTGACCAATGTTGAAACTTAATTGATCTTAAGTGGCCATTTGAGAATAATTTAATCAAAAACACTTAAAGTTTGATAAACATTTTAAAAATAAATTTTAGATGACAAAATTACCATCCAATACAAATAATAACTTATTGAATTCATCTACCCACCCTCTCTCTCTAATCCAAGGTTTTCTTTTTTCCTTTTTAGTTTGCAATTTACCAATTTAAAAAATTAAGATTTCTTTATCAACGTTATCTCTTTTCCACCCTTTATCTATTTTGCAAGGCTCCCCATCATGAAAGCAAAAACATTTACAGTGACAGACTAAGAAAACAAGTTTCATCCCAAAATGCCTTTTTGTAGAATATTTATAGGAATGTTTGTTTTTTTAATAAGAAATAGTTTTTCAAGCATTTTAATATACAGATGAAGTGCATTACAAAGTAATCTAATTTTGAGACATGAACTAATGACAATGTCTAAAGTAATCTATTCACTTTCAAAAAAAGAAGTATAATTGCGTGATACGAAATGTTCCAAAGCTCAAGCAATCTCAATAACAATTTCATATTTGCAAACCATTGATATACATACCTTTAAAACATCCATAAACAATTGGCAAAATTCTGAAATTAATCAACAATGGTCATTATTTCTTAAACTATAACTCAGTAGTATTAAAAAAATTCCTAAAAATTACAATAGTATAACTTAAGGAAGATCTCTCAAACAATCAACTTATAACGTATAATAACTATACCATTGAAAATAATGAATAAGAAGAAAATTTACAATTTTCTTATCCTACATCTTAGAATATTGAAGAAAATGATGTAAAACATTTGTCCTAAGTTCTCTTTCATCTTGGTCTTCTCTTCAGAGACTCACCCTAATAATCTGTCGTCTTTTGTTAGTCAATTTAATTAAGTATTTATTTAGGTTAATGTAGAGAGTAAATTTATTCACTTACATAATTATATATTATAAGGAGGTTATTTAGGTAATAAACCATCAAATGGTCACTTATTCACATTTTCTTGACTTTAAGGTCATTATAAAGCAATTATGTTTAATTTTGGTCACCAAAATATAATTTTCCCTACGAATTTTTACCAGTTTGCATTCGACTCATCATTACATTCGATCACCATCATTAACATAATAAACAATCATCCCGTTATTTTCGGCGTCATTATCGTTGTTGTCGTGGCCATCAGGTTGCCCTAAGAGATCACTCTTTTCTTTTCCATGACATTCTCTATTTTTCACTTTTCGTTTTTTTTTTTTTTTTTTTTGATGTTTTGAGAAATTTTACACACACACACACATATATATATACACACACACACACACACACACACACACACACACACATATATATATATATATATATATTCTTAAGCATACTGCAATTTAATCCCTCTCCTATATATATTTATATTCTGATGATCTTTTAAGAAAATTTTAATTATGTTTGTTTTTGAAACGATGATCTCAATTTTGTGACCCTAAAAAGGGAGGATGAATACAAGAATACAATATAAGGGTAATTTTATCTTTAAAAATTCATGTTGTATTAATGGATAGACTAAACGGACCATTTGATTGTCATATTAATTTGTCTTTTGTGACACGTATATAAATTTATTAAAAATTCTAAAATACTCTCAAAGACATTTTTGGTATTTCAATCTTTAATTTTTATAAAAACTTTAGAAATTCTATAATTTTTATAAAAATGCCAAAATACTCCATAACGCCAAAAAAAAAAAATTATAAAACCACAAAAAAGTTTTTTAGAAATTAAAAACCCCAATTTTCTTATAGTAGTTATATATATATATATATATATATATATATATATATATATATTGTCTTAAAAAATTGTCTTTACTTGCTAAATTTGAAAATCCTAAGTTTGTTTTCTTGAACCGATATTTGCACATTTAGTATATTTAAGTTTATATTGCACACACTTTGTCATTCATATATTTGTGAATAGAATATTAATTAGTGATTAAATTAGGAATGAATCATTTTCATTGTAACTCTTCTAGGTTAGGGGTCGAATCCCTGCTCTTTGGTGAGGCAGTACCTGCGTATTAAAACAGCTCGACAGTAAGAGTGTGTTTAGGGTTTACTAGAAAAGAGGAGGGTTTAATACAAAATTTCCTCAAAAGAACAAGAAGACCAGAAAAGGTGAGTCCCTTCCATCACTGTCCATGTTTAATTTCATCTTCAAATCTTTGCCTTATTTAAGGTGTGTTGTTGTATCAACTTCACCAATTTGGACACTGCATTTTCTTCAACACGACCCTTTATCTTCATCACCATCTCTCAAATCCATATCTACCACTTCAAATCAACACTCATTCACAGTCGATTACCTCACTAAATCATGTGGCCTTCGTCCGAAGAGGCTCTCTCGGCCTCCAAGTACATCACCATCAAAACCCCAAACAAACCAGACTCCGTTTTCACATTCTTCAGCAGCCATGGATTCACCAAAATCCAGATCTCACTTCTCATCAGAAGATACCCTCGGGTACTCATGTCCGATCCCGAGAGCACCCTTTTCCCCAAAATTGAATTTTTCCACTCTAAAGGTTTTTTAGCCCAAGAAATTGCTAAAATACTATCTACAACACCAGAAGTTTTGAGAAGAAGTTTGGAAAACCATATCATCCCATCCTACAATTTTTTAAAGGAATTACTCAAGTCCGAAGAAAAAACGATTGCCGCTATTAAACACTGTGCTAGGCTTTTGTTGTTTGATCTTCACATATCTGTAGCACCCAATATTGAATCTCTGAGAGAAATAGATGTGTCCGAATCGATTATTGTGGCTTTCTTTGCAAAACAACCTCAAGCTTTCACGCCTAATGCTGATAGGTTTAAGGAGATTGTGGAGGAAGTAAAGAAAATGGGTTTTAACCCTACGACAATGATGTTTGATATAGCAATTCATGCACTAGGGGCAATGAGTAAATCAAATTGGGAAAAGAAGGTGTGGTTTATAAGAAGTGGGGTTTGTCTGAGGATGAGATCTTGGTGGCTTTTGTGAAGCATCCAAGGTGTATGGTGGCATCAAAGGACAAGATTATGTGGATGATGGGTTTTTTTGTCAATAAAATGGGTTGGGAGTCTTCTATTATTGTGAGGAGGCCAGGGCTTCTTTGCTTGAGCTTGGAGAGGAGCATCATTCCCAGGTGTTTGGTTTATCAAATTCTGTTGTCGAAAGGTTTGATTAAGAAGGATTTTGGCTTGATTAAGATGATGGACTATCCTAAAAGTTACTTCCTACAGAAGTATGTGAAAAAATATGACAAAGAAGCTCCTGAGCTTTTGAAGTTATATCAGGACAAGTTGAATCTTTCAAAGTAACTAGGGTATGGGAAAATGATGAACACATTGGCCTTTTTAAGGTCGTACATCTCTAATCCCATCTATAAATTGGTTTCTCCTTGTTTACTCTTGGGTAGTGAATATGCTTTTGTTTGAAATACAACAATGGCAATCAAATTTCATTAATCTCTGAGCAAATTTGTGTTCTCTGTTCAAGTTCCGGCAATTGAAACTTGAAGCTTGACAACATGGTGCATTGAATTCCCCAGTACTTTTGTAGTGGTTAAGGCTTGGTGTGAAATGCCATTGTCTGTTGTTGTCTGGGAGAGCAGTGTAGGTGATCTTGGTTTTGTTTGACATACAATTTCAGAACTTGATCAATTTGGTAAATTAATGATTTTGAATTTCAATTGTAATGATGCAAACATCCGACTCAGTCAATAAGTGGTTGTACTTCTTTGTCCTGCAATCTTCCTCCTAGTCTGTATTGAGAACTTTCTTTCAGTTTGTCCAGGATTAATTCAGGTCTACACTCTTTTCTTTTGCTCGTTGGTGTTGATAACACAAATGTTATAGGATGCTCACCTTGGTGCATTGCTGTCGGATACCTCAACAACAAATATATTTTTACCTGTTATTGACGACGATTAGTCCATAAAACTGGAATGGAGAAGAAAGTGTTGCTAGATCAGCACGGAGAATCATCGACTGTTAATCAATGTGTTCCCTTCATAGCTTGTAATGTTACCGATTTTCCTTATTTTCTAATTTCAGGAATTTAATTGATTTTCTGGATTATTTTAATCCTTTCCTCATTCTGCATGCCACGCGGGCTGAAAGGGCGTTTTGGTCATTTTTTTGAACCGAGGGTTTTAGAAGTGTATTTTTAATCATTTTAAGTCAGTCAGAATGACGGTATCATTTTTTTTAGAATTTTTCGGAAGTCGGGATGATTTCTGGACTCGGGAACTTCTCCCGGTTTTCTCATTTTAATTGAGGGGTATTGTAGTCATTTCACATGTATATATATATAGGTGTATCTATTTTTGGTGGGAAATATTTTGGGGACTTTGTTGGTATTGAAATGGATTTAGAAGGGCAAAAGAGTAACTAACCAAAAAGTGACAAATACACACATTTTTACAAGTGGCATGCTATTGACCATAAGGCAAATTATTGACCAACCCATTTCCTTTCCTTTCCTCTTCATTTTCGGCAAAATGTTTCCCCTTTCTAGCATTTCACTTTCTCACTCTATATTTATCTATGTGCATTAAATATCTTCCACACTTCAAGCTTGTTTTTGGAGAGATTAAGGAAAGATTTTGATGAAGCCATAGGCGAAGAAATGATGACCTTAAGGAGAGCTTTTATTTGAGACCATTATTGCAAGGAGCTAGGGATCTTGAATTTGAGGGTTTCTCTTCAAAGAGGTAGAGTTGTCTAATTGACGATTTTCCTTGGATTTAGTAGTTAATTTGATGTTTTTCCCCTCTTTTGACATGTTAATTTGATGTTAATTGAAGAATGAAAATTCTAGGGTTTGGTTCATGTTTGAGTTTTGTAAAATTGATGGGTTTGATAGAATTATATGCTTATTTTGTATATGAATTTCTAATGACATGCTAAAAGATGACTAAGTGGTGGATTGTATGTGTTAGTCCTAGTATGGTTGATGTGGTGTATGTTAAAGCATGCTAAGTTGTTAAATTAATTTATTGTTATCATGAAATTATTTATTGTGTAATGAATGAAGGTTTATGATTAAATGATTGAAAATTTGAAATGTTCCATATGCATGGCATGAGGACATTGATAGCCATGAGAGAGATGAGGGTGTAGATGAGATGTGTAAATGTGTTGTAGCGGGAAAGGGAAATGTGGGTACATGATGGTTTGGAGGAGAGGTGTGAACAAGAGAGGGTGTGGTGTGATGTGGTTTGTATTGACATCTATGCATTGCATTATATGAGATAGTGATGAGTATTGATTGGAAATTTAAGTGTCATATGTGAAATCCTTCGCATAACCCCACTCCTTTTTCCTATTCATTGTGTGTAAAGCATTGGATTAGTTACTTCGTTTGAGGAGGTGCCGTTTAGGCAATCTCTGCTAAGCCGTTGTGCTCACCCCCCTTATTAATATTTTTTTTTAGGACTGGAAAAGAGGTGGTGGGAGATCTACAACTTCAATCATGCTAATATCGTAGACATATATATATATATATATATATATATATATATATATATATATATATTATTTTTTATTAAACAGGCCTTAGCATAATTTGAAAATTATAAGATTGATGTAAATAATGAAACTTGTTAAAGACTGAGTTTTGATGAGGCTTTTGCATATAATTTGATTTTCATGTAAGGCCTTCAGGCCATCTTGTTATATATATGCAATTGTCGTGATTTTCGTTGACAAATTAAGCTCACGTATAATTTAATTAAATGCATAAAAGTTTAATTATAATGGAAGACATCAAACCCGGGCTTAGGACAGTGTTTTGATCATATTAAAGGTTTCATATGTTGTCCGTTTGACATTAAAATGTTTGGGCACTCAAGCAGTGAGGAAAAATAAATAAATAAATAAATACATTTTTGCATCGATGTAGGAAATGACAGTGTTTTCCTCAGTTGACCTCGGGTTCGGTGAAGGACCCGGTTAACGGTTCGGACCTTCGGGTTCAAGTCGTTACCAATTTGGTCTCAGAGCCTTAGGTTCGAAAACCTAAGGACGACGGGTAGGGTTGACCCAGGTTGAGTTAGAGTTGGGATTGACAGTATTGCATGCTTATGTGGTTATTGTTTATCTAGTTAAAAAGCACGACTTGCTATTATGTGTTTACATGTGAATCGATTATGAGACTTATAAAATGGTGATTAAATTTAAACATGCTAAATGATAATGTGTTTATTTTTATTAAGTTGTTGTTTAATGAATGTGAAAGCATGCCTATTTGCTAGATGCTTACTTGAAATAATTTTGGTATGATTAATAAAATGGTTAAATTTGTTTAAAGTATGCTTAATTGCTATATGCATATATGTTTAAATGCTAGTATGTGTATTTCATGGCCATGATTATTAAGTGCTTACTTGTTTACTGTTTATTGAGTTATTGCTTAGTAGATGTATGCATGACTTGTTTGTTTCGTTATTGACGGGTTTGAGTGTTCGCGGCAGTGCTGTATGTTGGGTTACGGAGGGTTCTGACCCACGTATGTGATGGACTTGATCATTCCTACGTTTATAAATGTTTTGTTCTTATCGAACGAATAATGTGAGCACCATATCTCGTAGATTGAGCTATTTCATGTTTTTTTTTTTCTTTTTTTTTTTCTCGTATAGTTGCTTTTGTAGAACCGCGTTTGAGGACGATGTGGAGAGATGAATCCGGATGAAGTTGGGGAACGAGCAAGTGAAGGGCCATCCCAACCAGATAGGGTTTCAATGGGACAGGGCAGAGAAAGAGAGGTGGATGATGATCCCCAAATACCGGAGGACGAAGTTTTAGCAGCAAGGGCTGTAGTTTCAGTCTTTCAAAATTTAGCGAGTACCATAGCTCCTCAAGTGGTACCACAACTAGCTATTCAGCCACAGGGGGCAGAGATGGAGCAAAATCTTGGGTACCTACTCCAGTTTAACAAACTCATGAAAGTAGCATTTGAGGGAGGTGCAGACCCATTAGTTGCAGACGATTGGCTTGATGAAGTTGAAAAGCATTTGAAGGCAATAGCCATGCCCGATGATCGGTTGAAGATCACCTTAGCCACGTACAAGTTTGTTAGTAACGCGGCAACGTGGTGGAAGACCATGACTAACGCGCATGATATTGACATTATGAGTTGGGATGCATTCAAGAGTCTTTTCTTTGAAAAGTATTTCCCACAGACTAAGAGACAGGAATTGAGGACGCAATTTAACGGGCTTAAACAAGGTGACATGTCAGTGACAGAGTATGAGAATAAGTTCACTTCTCTTTCATGTTTCACTTTGGATGTGTTAGGGAACGAGGAGGAGAAGACATGGCATTTTGTGTATGGCCTAAATAATTCTATTAGGCCGGGGGTGACACTTTTGGGATTAAAGAATTATTCAGAAGCGGTTACGAGAGTACTGATGGCAAAGGCAGAAGCCAAAGATTGGCAGAAGAGGAGTGGTACTATGGGTTCTCAGGAACGAGGTATGAGTGTGGGTACTTCTTCCAAGAGTCAGGACAAGAAGAGGCATAAATGTGCTTCATTGTTTACTCAGGAGCAGCGGATGGCAAGTGTTACTCCTATTGTTGGTGCTTCTTTGGAGCCTTCTAGGAGAAGCTTGGTGTGCTATCACTGAAAGCAGCAAGGACACCGCAAGGCGAAGTGTCCTTTTGATAAACCTAGTTCCGGAGTTTGTTTTCGGCGTGGTCAGTCGGGCCACATGCAAAGGGATTGTCCACAGAGGAGATGAGTTATTACTATGATTGATTTTTGTGTAACGGGGGATACCTGTGAGGTTAGGTAAATGCCTATGCACAGTTGTGCTGGATGTAACGGGGGTTACCTGTGACTATGATGTAATAGGGGATACCTGTGAGTTGTATCGGTTGTAACGGGGGACACCTGTGAGCCGGCATGTGTTATAATGGGGATACCTGTGAGTTGTGTCGTGTTTTAACGGGGACTACCTATGAGTCATGTTGTGTTGCATGGTCCCTTGTGAGTCATGT